AGCAGCTGGCTGTCATCCTCAAGAGAGCCTCGCTTACGGTCCCCAGGGAAGTCCGAGGACGCTCCAGGCTGAAGGAGCCTCACAGCTCGTGGGGAGACGAGCCGAGTCCTGCTGTCTCCGCTCCTCCCTGCCCTGCTGGCCTGGCCCTGGGCAGGCAGGGCCAGCTCCGCTCTTAAACGCACGCCCTGCCTCGGCCCGGCTGGCGCCGACACAGGGGCCCGCGTCTCTAACGGGCTCCCCAGCGGAGCACACGGGGCACCCAGGGTCCTAGACGGCGCGTTTGCAGTGGCCCCGTCTGCTCACAGGTCCTCTGACGGCCCTGAGGCCTGAAGCCCAGCACGCGCCTCGCTGGGCCGAAGCACCGGCATCTCGGGGCGGGCGGGCCCTCCTGCTTCCGGCTTCCGGCTTCCGGCTTCCGGCTTCCGGCTTCCGGCTTCCAGAAGCACCGCGCCCGCTGGTTCACGGCCGCTCCACCTCGCATCGCACGACCCACTGCTGCTCCTCGAGGGGGCGTCGCCATCTGACCCCGCCCGGAGAGGCCCCCCCCGCCGTCTCCGGACCCGCGTGGACACCCAGGACCACCTCCCGACCTCACGGCCCCTAACCGTCACCGCGTCCTCGAAGTGGGCCCCTTGTTACCCACCTTGGGCTCGGTTGTGGGCGTCTGCGGGCCGTCTCCCTGCCTCTTCCCCGGCCTGCCTCCCCGCTGGGGACGGTGTTTCCCGCAGGATTTAGCAGCTGCACCACCGCCTCCATGTCCCCGGGCGCCACCTCCCGCCCCAGCATCCCCGGGTGGGCTCTGGGTTTCCCTGCATCTCACCCAGAGCCTGGCACGTGCGGACGCTTCCTGGAAACCAAATCCTTCATTCAACAGCAAGGACTGATTTCCGTGCTGCCCTCAGACAGGATGAAAAACACTCCGCCTGGGCTGCTGGATCAGACGAGGCTCCCCGCCCCAGCCCGGCATCTCCGCGGCCTTGCCTGCTGCCACTGTGATGCCCCAGACACCCCGGGCCAGCAGGCCCATGCTAGGCGTCCGAGCCTCAGCGGCTCACTCTAGCCCCTGTCCATGTTCAGACGCATCTGTGACCTGGGGACACGACGCCTGCCCAGGGCACCAGCCGGGCTCCAGAAAGAAGAGGCCCCACTGCCCAGGTGGCTCAGCGGGTAACGAATCCGCCTGGATTGCAGGAGACCTGGGTTTGAGTCTTGGGTCGGGAAGATCCCCCTGGAGAAGGAAATGGCAGCCCACTCCAGTATTCTTGCCTGGAGAATTCCATGGACAGAGAGGCCCGGTGGGCTACAGTCCATAGGGCTGCAGAGAGTCAGACACGACTGAGCAGTAACACTTTCACGTTCACACTTTCAGCACGTGGAGGGGGGCACAAAGCCTTCTGCACTCAGAATGACCTTTATTCTAAGTGTGCATGCGCTAAGTCACTTCAGTTGTGTCTGACTCTGTGACCCCCATGGACTGCAGTCCACAAGGCTCCTCTGCCCATGGGATTCTCCAGGCGAGAATCCTGGAGTGGGTTGCCATCCCCTCCTCCTCCACGGCATGTTTCCAACTCAGGGATCGAACCTGCGTCCCTTGTGTCTCCTGCATTGGGAGGCGGGTTCTTTACCTCTAGCAGCAGACCCCCCCACTTAATTCCTAAGGCCACGCTACGGACACGAGAGATGAGGATTCATTTTTAAAACCCACTTTCTTGCAACCTAGAAACAAGCTCAAGAAAAGCCAGACTGAAAATCATCATGGGTGGGAAGAGAGTTTTGGCCAAAGAAAACACTCTGACTTGAATTCTCTTCTTTCTGGAGAATCAACAGCAGCCTCTGTGTGGATCGGACCCGGAAAGCTGCCGTGTGCCGGCGGGTGGCACGGCCACGCCTGTGTGCCTGTGGAGAAGGGGGCGCAGGCTGACTGCGTCGGGCGCTTACAGACGCTGGAGCCAAATTAGGACTTATCAGCACGTTCATTATCTAAAAATAAACTAGCTTTTCTTTGCTTCATCAAAAAATCAGATTATAGAGTACGCCGCCTTACTTGCAGAATAAAGTGTTTTTATTCTTAGACAAGTGAGGACAATGAGAACTGTTACATAACCTGTCAGCGTGTGGATGGGCCGGTTATGGAAGCAGATTGTTCCCCGTGATGAGGGCGATCTGGTTTCCCCGCTGCAGAGGGTCAGTGGATGGCCACGGAGAACACACAGTCCCGAGATTCAGGATGCAAAATGAGGCGCATCTCTTGTCAGCCTTCTAGACCGGTGGCTCTCTGCAGGATGGCTGCTTTCCCTCAGACACCCCGAGACCAGGGCTGGTACCCCCTCCACCCAATCTGCAGCCAAGGCCCCACATTTCATGCATTCACAGTGCGGGCCTGACCCCCAACCCCAGGCGGGCATCCTGCTGACCCCAGTGGGGAGCAGAGCTGAGCCCACTGCCCACCCAAAGAGGTCGCTGCGGTGAGGAAGGGGTGGCCACACCGCACAGCCTGAGGGACCACCGTCCCCTCCAATGCCGGCCATCCGCCCAGTGTCCCTGGAGCAGCCGCGCTCCAGGCCGGCTGGCTGCACCCTCGGGGGGCTTCCCGAGCATCCTCGTGGCCCACAATCCGCTAGAACAAGTCACAGAGCTCAGGGCAGTGCGGTTCCTACGATCACAGGTTCATGAAAACAAACGGATGCGTCTCTTTCTTTCCAGCCGAGGCAGGCACACAAGATGGGGTAGGAGTGTCCACGCATCCATGGCAGTGCAGCCCTGTCCTCGGGACACGTCACCCCCCGCCCCACCGATGGGGTCCCTGCCCGGGGCGCCGGGCTCAGCCGCAGCCTGCCAGTGTGTGTGGTGGCTTCGTGGCAGGCGTGGCTGAGTCGCAGCCCCATCTCCAGCGCTCTGTCCCCCCGGGGTCAGGCCGGCCTCTCTGCGGCCAGTCCCCCACCCGAGTCACCGTGTGGGTGTGACCTGCCCCCCGCCCCGTCACAAGACACGCCTGTACTTGGGACACTCCACGGCGCAGCAGGGACCTCCCAGGCACCTGGTCTCTCTCTGGGCTGGCCAAGCTCTGTGCTGCCCGGGTGGGTCCTGGTCAGATTCCCCAGAGGAACAGAATCAGCCGGAGACCGACCAACTGACCAACTCACAGGAACTGGGGGCCGACACGTCCTGAGACGGCAGGCAGCCCTGGCCCAGAAGACTCTGTGCTCCACCAGAGGCTGCGTCCGTCAGGCCCGAGACCAAGGTCAGTGCCGCCCACCCCAGGCTCCGTCCGTCAGGCCCGAGACCAGGGGTGGAGCCCTCTCAGCTCAACTCTGAAGCAGGAGAAAGACAATTCCTCGGATCAAAGGTGGTCAGGGCAGGCACGAGGAATTCCCTTGATGGGAGGGTCAGCCTATTCCTTCTTCCTTCTGTTCAGGATGGACTGCAAAGGCCAGCCCAGGGAAAGAATCTGCCCACCATGCCGGAGACCCGGGTCATATCCCTGAATCGGGAAGATCCCCTGGAGAAGGGAATGGCACCACTCCAGTATTGTGGCCGGGAGAATCCCATGGACAGAGGAGCAGTCTGCAGGATTGCAAAGGGTCGGACACGACTGAGAGACACGTTCACCCTCGCCCTCACTAGGGAGGGACTGTGGTCCCCTCAATGCCCCCCCCCCCAGCAACCTCGTCCCGAAACATCCAGAATAACATATGACCGCCTCCCGACACCCAGCGGCCCCTCAAGCTGACACGTAAAGTGGGCTGGGCCTGACCTCCCCGCGGTCTGAGTGACCCCCATCCCGAGCCTGACGCCCACCCTGGGTGGGGTGAGCCGCACCGGGGGCTGCCTGGTCCGGGTCGGAACAAGCCGAGCGTCGAGAATGCAAGCTCCTGGGGCCCGGTCTCAGCTCAGGGGCTGCTCCCTCCTGAGGCAGGAAAACAAGCTTCGGGGACCCAACACGGAGCACAAGCATTTCAAAATACCTTTATTTCCTCTCACCGGGTGGTCACTCCACAAAATATTTTGACGGCCGCTCCCCGACCGCCCCACCGCGGTCAGACTTTTCCTCCCATCGTCACCCAGCCTCTGCCTCGCGCCTCAGTCGTCTGTTTCCTCCTCCTCTGTCACTAACAGACTCGCTGGATTTAAGATAAAACAGAGAGAAGTGGGTTTTGAGCGGGACTCTCGGCCACCCCAGGGGGAGACCCCCCAGGGCCTGTGGATGCAGCTGCAGGGACGCGGTCCACTCAGAAGCGCACTTGGCGGCTGGGTCTCTGCCCCCCGCCCGCACCGGGGTCTGTCCGCTGAGTCCTGGGGCCAGAGCCTTTGCAGCCCCCCAGGGAGCACCCCCGCAGGAGGCGGGCGCCAGGCCTGCAGGCCCCCGGGGCCGTGTCCAGGTCCCAGAGGACAGCCAGGCAGGCCACTCACTGCCCCTTGGGATGGTGAGAGCCTGACGCAGGCCCAGGACAGCTGGTCGCCGTGGCCGCGCCTCCTTGAACCTGCCGGGGGCTCCGGCCAAAGCCACCCGCCTGCGAGGACAAGGGGCTTCCTGGGAACCAGTGTGGGTGGGACACATCCCGGGCAGCGGGCACTGCAGGAGGTGGTGACGCTCTGAGCCCGCCGGCTTCCAGCCAGTGCCCAAGGGAGCTCAGCCCACCGCCCTGCGCCCCCCACCTACCACCTGCCCAGACCTGGGGCTGGGGGCACAGGCGGGGGCAGGAAAGGGAGGAATGCTGTGGACGGAAGCCGTGCCAACGTGCCACGGGCAGAGCCCGCTTTGGAAGCCCACCCTCTGGGTCGGAGAACACAGACAGCGCTTCTGTGCAGACTGGCAGGCCGGCACCGCACGCGGGGGCCGGGGTGCAGGCTGAGGGTCTCTAGCAGAGCCGCTCTCGGCAGCAGTGGAGCGGCGGGCCCGCCGCCTTACCCTCCTCCCCGCCGCTCTCCTGAGGCTGCGGGGCCTCCACGCTCGGGGCCTGCGAGCCCGCCCCCACGCTGCTGGGCAGCTGCGTCTCCACCCGGACACTGGACTTGGCTGACGGAGGCGCCTCCGTGGGGCATTTCTTTCCTCTCCTGCTCTCCTGGACGACTCTGATGGGCAGAGAGAGAAGGATGGGGACCCCGGGGCCGCCCGGCCTTCCACCAGGATGCAGCCGCAGCATCACAGTGTTCACAACCCTGCCGGCGGGTTTGAAGGAGAAACGCTCTGTCACCTCAGCTTTGTGGAGCTCCAGACTCAGTGGGCACATGCCATCCGGGCTCCCACACACACCAGGGAGCGGGCCGCATGTGCGTGGCCCATGGTCACGGCCAGGCCGGGCCACAGAGGTGCCACCCAGCTCCACTCGGAGGAGGAACAGGCTTTTTCCTCACCGTTGGACAGAGTGGTTCAAGCAGCCTCACCGCCTTCCGTTCACAGGACAGGGGCCGGGGCCCCGAGTGCAGGCTGCAGCCTGGCGCTGCCTGTGCACCGCGGGCAGCTGCGGTGCCTGGCGGCCGTGTCCTGACCACTAACACGCACCCGGATTCGGGCCTGAGCACACGACCGCTGCAGGCCGAGGGATAAGCCACCAGGTGGGGCCTGGCGGCCTGCAGACTGGCGCCCGCTGGCCATGAGGCTGAGACACCAGGAGCCAGGCTGGCATCGGCCCCGAGCGTTCTGGGCAGGAACGTGCGCACCCTGGCCGGCTCGTGCCCGCAGACGGCCCTCCTCGTCACCCACGCTGCAGTGAGGCAGGGGGCCGCCCGCTCACAGCACCCTGCTCCTGTCCCCTCGGGCCCACAGTGAGGTTCAGGGAAGGAAAGCACTGACCTGTAAATGATGGTGATGACAAAGGCTCCGGCGATGATCACGATCAGAGCAGAGAATACCTGCACGTAAGCTGGAAAACAGTTCCTGGGCGTCACTGCAGGCCAGCGTCTCCCCAGAGCCAACTGCCTCCCCGGGGTGCCCACACCCCCCGCCCACCGGCCCTCCACACCCCCCCCCCGCCTGGCTCAGCCCCAGGCTCTGGTCTCTGCACCTTCCTCCCCCAGAAACGCGGCCATGGACCCGAGTAGGGGCTCCCGAGGACCGTCCCGAGGACAGTGATGGGGAGGGCCGTCCATCTATCCAGACACTCTGTCCATCTGTCCCAGAGTCAGCAGCACCCAGCCTCCTGGGACCTGGGCCGCCCTCTGCCCTGGCCTCCCTGGAAATGGTCCCTCAATACACAGGTCAGTTGTCCCAAGACATTAGGAGGTGCTTTCAGGTGACAAATTCCACAGGTCTAACTGCAACTTTCATGAACCGAGCACTCCTTTATCCGCAAGGGGCAGCCGCTGCGCCCGGCAGATCCCACCTTCTCTGGACGAGCCCCCAAAGGAAGGCCCAGCATCTCTCAAGGCGACTCAGGGCAGCCACACCCCCCCGAGTGTCCCGGTGCGGGAGCACCCCTCACGGGTGTGAATTCTCAGCCCTTCCCCACTCCTGGGAAGGAGAGAGAGGGGGGAGTTGGGCGACCCCCAGGCCTTCTTGGGGGGAGCCCTCCACCTCGGGGGACCTCACGGTGCCCGGGCTCACACACGGGGCCAGGGGGCCAGCCTTCCCTACGGACTGACGCTGGGCCTCCGTCTGCCAGCCAGCTGGAGACTCGGGCGACTGAAGGGCAGGACCCGCGTCCCCCGGGCCCAGGAGCTCTGCGAGGGCACCGCTCCGTGGAGGCACCCGGACCACCCCCCCGGTTCTGTCCCCGCGCTCTTGTGAGGCTCAGGCCAGGATGTAAAGCAGCGAGGCGGGCCGGCGGGCCTGCATGGTGCCCCACGCGAGGCGCTCGAGCCCTGAGCCCGGCTGGCCCATCCGCGAGCTCAGCGGGCCTCCGCGCCGACTGTCTTTCCCGCTTTCTCCAAGCGACGGAGCAGCCGGCTGGCGAACGCTGACCCGACTTGTGACGTGACCTCTTCAGTCCCCTTGCTTCCTCCTCCCTCCGAGCTGTCTGTCCCTGACCCAGGGGCATCATCAGGCGTCCTCACTGGTGGGTCCCTGGGGCCACGGGGTCCCGGATGTGGGGCTCGAGTCAGGAAACGGAAGGGAGTGACGCCACGCAGCTCGGCAAGCAGGGGCTGAGTATCCGGCCGGCTCTCATGAGCGTGTTCACAGGCAGGGGGCGGATGCGGTGCTCGGGGGCAGCCGCAGCCCTGGCTCAGAGCTTCTTGCAGGAGGCGTGTCCTGCAGCTGGCTTCTTTCTGTCCCCGACGCCTTGGCCGTGGAAAGGCGTTCATCTGGGCTCACCTCCTCGCCTCCAGGACTGTGGTAACCTGCTCCAGTGTTTCTCACCCCCTGGTATGAATGCAGCGGTGTGGACGCTCCCGCGGTGACCTCTGAACCGGGCACTGCAGGGGGACGCGACCTCCAAGGTCAGGGTCACCACGGCTGCGGCCCTGTTCGTGCTCCAGCCGCTGGCCCCGGGGAAGAGCGTCTCACAGCTGTGAGCCGACCTGTGACATGAAGCAGATGTCTATGGGCACGCAGGGCTGACCCGCAGCAAAGTGGGAGCCTCGAAGCAGCCCGTCCAGCCCCGGGCTGGCCGCAGACGACCACCGCCTCCCGCAATCTTGACTGCTGTCTCATGAGCCACCTGAGACCAAACCACGCAGCCAAGCCTCCGAGTTGCTGCTTAAAGCCAGTAAGCCTGGGAAATTTATCACCTGGTGAGAGGTTAACTAACATAGGGCAGCTCCCAGACCTCGGTGCAGTCAACGCGCTTTAAACAGTGTTGAATGAATGGAATGGAAACCAAATCTGAGAGTGAATTGGGTGACAAGAGGAATGGCAAAGAATCCTCCTGCCGTGCGGGAGACCCAGGTTCAACCCCTGGGTCAGAAAGATCCCCTGGAGAAGGAAATGGCAACACACACTCCAGTGATCTTGCCTGGAGAATCCCGTGGACAGAGGAGCCTGGCGGCTGCAGTCCATGGAGCCACAAAAGAGTCGGACACGACCTAGGGACTGAGCCACCGTCACCCAGGTAGGAGCAGGCAGCCCACACATCCTTGCATTCCAAGCAGCGGCTATTCCTTACTGTGATTTGCGTCCCATCTCATGAAAGAAATTTAGAATCTATTTGTGCCCTGGTTTATGAAAGAAATTCAGAATCTAAATGTAAGTGGATCCCTGTTAGACACACAGATTTAGTCAGTGATTTAGTTTTCAATTGTCGGTTATATCTTCTATATCTTGGCGTGTGCAAGTACTTTTCTTTCTTGAGGTCGAGCTCCTGAAGGCAGAGACTGAATCTCAGTAATTCTGTCTGCACAATCTCTAGCCAGCATCTATTAGTGGCAAGCAATATGTACAATTTATCATATAACACATGTTATGACTGATCACTCAGAAACAGCAGCAATTGAAAGAATATCTTGGCAAAGCCTCCCCCAGATAGTTGAGCAAAAGTTTTGAAATTGTCTCAGCAAGTCCCACAAAGAAACTGAAGTCAAACACTTGGGGGAAAAAAAATGACAGGTTAAATAGTGTACCCTGAACTCAAGACTGAAGACTGAAAGCAAGTCATTCTCTCTGAATTCCCATTTCTTCTCAAAGATCTAATGCTAATTCCCCAAGTTCATGTTCTTAATAATACAGATTATGCCATAACACAAAGTGCACTTCAAACCAGCCAATTTAAGAAGTTGGTGAAAGGTTTTCATAACATGGAATTATGAGCACAAAGAACTCATAATACGCTGTCACGGAACACTACAACTTACAGCACAAAGCTTTGCGCGCCGTCTTGAATGAGAAAATGTCAAAGAAACGAAAAATACCGAGGGCGCAATGAGAGTCCAGTGCAGGGCTCACTGCCCAGACTCTGCCCACGGACAAGCCACGCTCGCAAACGCGAGAGAAGTCGGAAGAAAAGGCCCAGCCCACACAACTCATGTGTTATAACTGAAAGGATGGAAAAAGGCTCAATCCTCGCCTCCAGGCAAAACACGACATGCCCACTTGTAGAACAATGAGCCCTCTTCAAGGACAGAAAATCCCTGGGTTTGTGTTCTTTTCTAGGTTCCTCAGGGACACTAATAATTTAGGTGCTAAAAAGAATAAGGCTTATTTTTCAAATAAGTGATAGGCATAAGGTGATGGTACTAATTCACATGATGTCTGAAACACACACATTTACAAATGGCCAGCTCCCACCATGGAACCCTGATGAGAGGATGCTCAGGGATGGAACAGACGAAAGAAGAAAAAGCATCAGCTTGAGCTTCTGTTCTCTCACTGGCTGCATTCTCCCTTGCGTGGTCCATGTCACTGGTTTATGCTCTGTGGGCTCCATTTCATTAGGATGTGAGCAAACAGGGATAATTAACAGCCAAAACCATGACCTGATTGATGCTGGGAAAGATTGAAGGCGGGAGGAGAAGGGGACAGGAGAGACTGAGATGGTTGGATGGCATCACCAACTCAACAGACATGAGTTTGAGCAAGCTCTGGGAGTTGGTGAAGGACAAGGAAGCCTGGCGTGCTGCAGTCCATGGGGTCGCAAACAATCAGACAGGACTGAGTGGCTGAAAAACAACGGAGTGACTTGTCCTGTGACTTCACCTGGGAATTTAACGTCTTTTGCATCTTTATATGTGGAAGATTGAAGAGCAAACCCACTACCCTTTGGATGTTAAAGTTTCCTGCTTTTAGGAGCTTCCCACAATAAATGTCTCAGAAAAACTAAGCTGCATATGTGCTTAGGACACCAAAGTCTTCTAGGAAGAAAAACTCCATGATGGAGATGAAGTGAACTAGACTGGCTGCTCTCTAAATAGTGAGATGTGTCCAACCATTAAAACTGCAAAATGAAAACAAAAGGATGAAAAATGCAAAAAGCAGCAAATTACAGTCGGCTGGAAACAGAGGCGATTGTTGAAATCACAACGGCTGAAGGGGCCAAGAGCAGCTCGGGGCAAACAACAGGCTGATAAGAGAGCTTCTTGGGAAACCCTGGGGAGTGACCGTCTCCAGGGAGACGTGGAGACGGTGACAGCCCGTGGAAGGCAGAAAGCCTGGGGAGTGGCCGTCTCCAGGGAGACGTGGAGAGCCGTGACACAGCCCGTGGAAGGCAGAAAGCCTGCGGAGTGGCCGTCTCCAGGGAGACGTGGAGAGCCGTGACACAGCCCGTGGAAGGCAGAAAGCCTGCGGAGTGGCCGTCTCCAGGGAGACGTGGAGAGCCGTGACACAGCCCGTGGAAGGCAGAAAGCCTGGGGAGTGGCCGTCTCCAGGGAGACGTGGAGAGCCGTGACACAGCCCGTGGAAGGCAGAAAGCCTGCGGAGTGGCCGTCTCCAGGGAGACGTGGAGTCGGTGACACAGCCCGTGGAAGGCAGAAACCCTGGGGAGTGGCCGTCTCCAGGGAGACGTGGAGACGGTGACAGCCCGTGGAAGGCAGAAACCCTGGGGAGTGACCGTCTCCAGGGAGACGTGGAGACGGTGACAGCCCGTGGAAGGCAGAAACCCTGGGGAGTGACCGTCTCCAGGGAGACGTGGAGTCGGTGACACAGCCCGTGGAAGGCAGAAAGCCTGGGGAGTGGCCGTCTCCAGGGAGACGTGGAGACGGTGACAGCCCGTGGAAGGCAGAAACCCTGGGGAGTGGCCGTCTCCAGGGAGACGTGGAGAGCCGTGACACAGCCCGTGGAAGGCAGAAACCCTGGGGAGTGACCGTCTCCAGGGAGACGTGGAGACGGTGACACAGCCCGTGGAAGGCACGGGGCATCCCTAGGAGTACAGAGGCGGTCCTGGGCTCACCCTGCTGGCTGACCTTCAGGTTCTGTGAAAGCAGGAAGCGGAGACTAAGGCAGAGCTGGGGACCCCCTGGCTGACGCTGGATCCCAGCCCACACACAGGGCCCTGGCAGAGACCGGGAGATGATTATTTCCGGGCGTCTATGGAGGTGTCTGTGCAGACACTAGCTGACCGCAAGGCTGACCAAGCAGAGCCTTCAGTGAGCACACACTGTGAAGAAACGACGCTACAGAGTCCACTCAGGAAAGTCATCGCTAGACACCTAACCCTAGCCCAGCCACAGCGAGAGGTTCAGCGGGCAGGAGAACCTGGTTTTCAGGGCTGCCACATTACATAGCTTAAATGTCTGGTTTTCAACAACAAAAAAGATGTGACACGCGCAAAGAAACAAGAAAATCTGGCCATGTACATGATATGTGGAAGGCCATCAATAGAAATGGCCCCTCAGGAAGCCCCGATATTAGACTGACTGGGCAGAGACTTTATTGTAAACAGGTTCAGAGAACTAAAGGGAGCCATATCTGAAGAACAGAGTATGAGAACAATATCTCACCAATAAAAAGATAGAAATTATTTAATTAAAAAAAGAACCAAATAGAAATTCTGAAGTTGAAAGCATAATCCTGGAAATGAAAGCCTCACCAGAGGAGTAAGCTGGTCAATTTGAGCCACAAAAGAATCAGCAATGCGAAAGCCAAGGCCGCCGAGAGCGTGCCGCCCGGGTGTCAGAGCGAGATGGCGTCAGGAAACAGCAACCGCAGAGAGCTGGCGGGCGCCACTGCTGCAATCAGCCGCCCAGCCGTGTCCAACTCCGTGCGACCCCACGGACTGCAGCACACCAGGCCTCCCGCCCATCACCAACTCCCGGAGCTTACTCAAGCTCATTCACGTCCACCACGTCAGTGACGCCATCCAACCATCTCAGCCTCTGTCGTCCCCTTCTCCTCCCTCCTTCAATCTTTCCCAGCATCAGGGTCTTTTCCAATGGAGTGTCCCAAATGTACAGCCTCTTTTCTGCCTCTTTTTGAGCCAAACTGACTCCTCTTTTGCCCTAAATACCAAATCTTCACCCCACGGGAAGGCACTGCTCCCCATTTGGCTGAATCCAGATCTCGCTGATGCTTTAGCTTCTTGAACTATTTTGCCCAGAACATCACGTTCTTGAAGGCACTGGAGTGACGTTTTGAGTGGGATCGGCTGGCCCCCGGGGCAGTGTGTCTGATTTCCCAGCTCCAGGAGCGAGAAGGCAGGTCTTGGGGGTGGGGGGCTGAGACCCCTGGGGCCACAGAGGAGACCTGGCAGGCCACAGCACACAGCATGCCCCCTGGAGGGTGAGGGTGGGGTGGGGTCAGGGCCGGGGGCCTGGGACACATTTCCCAAAGCATCCGAGCTGTTGAGTGTCTGCGGCCAGTGCCAGGGACTCTTTCCTGCATCCAGTGAGGCCTCCTGCAGACTGCCCGTTCCCGAGACCATGCGCCCCTCCCCAACGTCCTCAAGCCCTCTCTCCGGTTTCTAAAAGGGAGGCATATGGGCCAGGAAAATGCATCTACGACCAAGTGGAGCTTGAGGGCTTGGAGACACTAATCCAGATGAGCCCAGAGGCAGGAGATCCAGGAAGCACTGTGGGAGCGGCCCTTGTGGACCAGGCGTTGTGGCTCGCCTCTTCCTCCCCACCCCGACCCCGCTTCAGGCCGCCCCCGAGTTCTGCTTCCCTGGGTGCCCCCATGCTGCCTGACCTGGGGGTGTGGCAGTCCGTGGCTCGGGCCCCGGCCCTCCCGGGTGTCCCTGCCAGTCCTACCCTGACCCCAGGTTCGTCCCCAGGCTCAGGATGGGAAGCAGAACTCAGTGAAAGGTTGACATCTCATTCCGACCCCTGACGGCGGCCCCTGTGGGGCTGGGGCATCCTTGCGCATGGTGCAAGGGCTCCAGCCCAAGCCGGCTCTTTCTGCAGACCTAGCAGCCCCAGCTCAGCCTTCTACGCTCCTAGGACAGATGGAGTTCAGAGAAGCCTCTCCAATAGCGCGTAGGGCCGCTGGGCAGTGAACGTCCCCCGGCAGCAGAAGGCCCACAGCCAGCCCCTCCAAGCCCTCTTTCCCAGGCCACCCCGAGCAGGGCGACGTGGCAGAGGATGTGGAAGGAGGCCCATCCAACAAGGGGACCCCGGGTGGGGGGCCGTCCCCAGCCCGGCCGCCCGGCCGCGTACTCACTGGGCACGGCCTTCTCGTAGCAGATGCCTTTATAGAAGCAGCAGCCGAGCTCCTTGCAGCGATCCCGGCTGACGTTGTAGTCGCATATGTCGTACAGCGGGATGTCGCACACTGCAAGGCGACACACGGAGGGCGTCACCCCGCGGCCACGGCCCCGCTGACTCGGAGCGTGACTGGGTGCGTCGCACAGACCTCACTCTGAGAGTCCCACTGGAAAGAATGCGATTTCCGAACGAATTAGTGTCCCGTTAATTACACAGGATAACGCAGGGTCCTCCGGTGACCAAGGAACTAACGCAGCTCGGCAAGAGCTGGCCAGGCTCCGCGCTCCACAGAGAGACCGGGAAACGAAGGTCTGACACCGTGGGCGCCCGGGAGCTGGGGCAGGAAGTGTCACCAAGCCACGTTTAAGCACAGGGTGCGTGAAAACGATGATGCCGCGGGTCATTTCAGAATTCAGAAGTCCTGAGAAGGACAGCTCAGGGCCCGGGCCTGGGGGCTGCACGGGTGGGCGGGGTCCCCAGGGGCCGCAGCCGCCCCGCTGGTCCCCTCCCCGCCCTCTGCCTGTCTGGCTCCTGCAGTCGGGAGGCCTGCCTCCTGGTTCCCAGAGGTGAAACCCAGGCTTAGAATGAGTCCAGAACACGACGTGTGCCTCGGACGTAAGAGCCGCTCATGTCCTGCAGGCCTGTGCCAGGGCCCCCCAGAAAGACCCGGGGTGGGGGCAGGCTCCCCAGACAGACAGGGGAGGGCAGGCTCCCCAGAAAGATCCGGGGTGGGGGCAGGCTCCCCAGACAGACAGGGGAGGGGAGGCTCCCCAGAAAGATCCGGGGTGGGGGCAGGCTCCCCAGAAAGATCCGGGGTGGGGGCAGGCTCCCCAGACAGACAGGGGAGGACAGGCTCCCCAGACAGACAGGGGAGGGCAGGCTCCCTAGACAGACCCGGGGTGGGGGCAGGCTCCCCAGACAGACAGGGGAGGGCAGGCTCCCCAGAAAGATCCGGGGTGGGGGCAGGCTCCCCAGACAGACAGGGGAGGGCAGGCTCCCCAGACAGACAGGGGAGGGCAGGCTCCCCAGAAAGATCTGGGGTGGGGGCAGGCTCCCCAGACAGACAGGGGAGGGCAGGCTCCCCAGAAAGATCCGGGGTGGGGGCAGGCTCCCCAGACAGAAGGTGGGGGTCAGGTTCCCCAGACAGATGGGGGGCGGGGGGAGGGCAAGGGTCAGCCTCCCCAGACAGACCCTGGTTGGGGGGCCGGCTCCCCAGACAGACTTGGGGGGACAGGATCCCCGGACAGCCCAGGTGCAGGAGGGTATCAGGGTACCCGGGTCCCAGGCAGAGAGCCTCCTGCGGGGAGAAGCCCGCTCGGGACATCCCTGGGAAACCACCTGTCAGCCATCTTAGGGGTCTCCTTTATGCCCACTCTCCACGGCGGTGAAGTGTGGGCTCGGGGATGGGGCCGCGGGCCCGCCGGCGCTGCGGCCTTCCTGCCTTGGGAGCCTCTCTGGCCCTACCTAGGCCCGCGGCCCCGCCCTGCGGCTCAGGAGCACCCCGCCCTCCTGGCGCTGAGTCCTGGGTCCCGGGTCCCTGGACACGCTGGGGCGAGTCCTCCGAGGGGCCCCTGGACGGGCCACTCGATGGAGAGAGAGGAGGGAGGCGCGGGCAGGGTTGCAAAGGCCGGGCCCACAGGGCCCCTTGCCGTCCGCGTGTACCCCGTCGTCGGGGACGCCTGCCGCCCCTGCAGCCTGGCCAGTCACCTGCAAACTTCTTCAGGAGGTGCGAGGGGGACTTCTTGAACTCAGGCGCGTATCTCATCGTAGCAGCTGACGGAGGGCCGCGGGGTCACGGGGACCTGGGGAGAGAGCGGGTCAGCGCGGCGCCCCCGGCGTGGCCGGCGCGGGGCCGGGGGCGGCCGGCGGGGGCCCGGCCCCACCTGGCAGGCATGTCCCGGCCGAGCCGCGGCCACGCGCCTCACGTGCACAACAGCGCTCGGACCAAGCGAGGGACCGGCCAGCGCGCCACCCGCCTCGGCTCCCGGTCAGGGCAGGCCCGCCCACCGGCTGTGACGTCACACATGCCCCATGACGTCACAGAGGCCTGCGGGCGGAAGCCGCCTGCGGACCCCGCCCCCAGCCCCTGCCTGCACGACGCCCGCCCCGCTGCCCAGCCAGTCTCTGCAGAACTGGCTCCCGCAAGGCTGAGGCCCCAAGGTCCTGGGGTGAGGCAGGCCTGGTGAAGCTGAGAGCCCTGGAGGACCCGGCTTGCCTGTGGACGGCACGCAGTTCAGTTCAGTTCAGTTCAGCCGCTCAGTCGTGTCCGGCTCTTTGCAACCCCAGGACTGCAGCACGCCAGGCCTCTCTGCCCATCACCAACTCTCAGAGTTTACTCAAACTCATGTCCGTTGAGTTGGTGATGCCACCCAACCATCTCATTCTCTGTCATCCTCTTCTCCTGCCTTCAATCTTTCCCAGCATCAGGGTCTTTTCCAATGAGGCAGCTCTTTGCATGAGGTGGCCAAAGTATTGGAGTTTCAGCTTCGGCATCAGTCCTTCCAATGAACACCCAGGACTGATCTCCTTTAGGATGGACTGGTTGGATCTCCTTGCAGTCCAAGGGCGGCAGGCAAGGAGAGGCGGGAGACCAAGCAGGAACCCGCGAGCAGGTCGCTGCAGGGGCTTCAGCCTTCACACTACACGGTCAGGCGACAGAACCGGGTCTGTGCAGGGCAGAGAGTGAGCACTCTCTTCACAGCGTCGTCCTGAAGGACTGTCAGCAGGCAAGAGTCCGCCTGGGATAACACGATCACCCGAGAGAAAATTAAAGGAGGGCTGTGACCGAACGCGTTTCCTGTTGTTTTAATTACAGTTGGTGACTGGCAGCCCCACTGGACTTGGCGGGAGGGGAAACCAGGCTGGAGGGGCGGGCCCTGGGCTCCGAGTGGACAGGCAGGCCAGCACAGGTGCCCTCCCGCCGGGGCTGCGGTCCCCGTGAGGCTGCAGGGCAGCCCTGGCTGGAGCGGCCTCGGTGCCCTGGGGACGGGGCTGTGGCGGGGGAGGGGTGTCAGTGTCCAGGGGAGGAGGGGACAGAATCGCTCTGGCCCAGCGGGTGAGGACAGGAGGGAGCAGGAAGGCAGGCCGAGGGTGGACAGGGGCTCACGCTGGGAGCCATGGCCCTCGGGGAGCAGGTGGCAAGTCCAAGGAAGCTGAGGTCGCTGGAGGTCAGGGCTGGTTGTGATGAGGAGCGGGGAGCCCCGGGGAGGGGAGCAGGCAGATGGTCGGCTGGGGCCGGCTCAGGGCCTCTGGGGCGGGGCCGCCTTGACCAGCGCCTGGCAGAGCACCGAGCTCGTGGGTCGCCCCTCCCCCAAGAAGCAGCTTTGCTCCCCTCCCCCCGCCCCCCGCCCTGACCACATGACCCAGCCTCTCTCACCCCGGTTTCCTCACCTGAGAGCAAGGTGATGATACACACACAGGCACGTGACTGGCCTGTGCTGGGTGCCCAGTAACGAGCCCACGTCCAGGGGCTCAGAGGGTCAGGCGGGGTGTCCGGCAGCGCCCGGGGCCAGGCAGTCCCCTCTGTCCAGCGGCACCTGGGGCTGCGCTGCGGTCCACTGTGTGTAGCTCAGCCGTTGGACTGTATGATCCAGGGCCCACAGCATGCCATCAGCCCAGGGAGACCCCCAGCACCGTGAGCAGACACCCCCACCCCTCAGAGGGATCTCTAATCCACCCCGAGCCTGAATTCGCCTCTGGACACGTCCTATCCATGGAATCTCACAACACGTGGACTTGGGTCTGGTGCCTCCCACCTGCCGCGTTCAGGATGCATCCAGGGGGCAGGGGTGCCAGACCGCTCCCCTTCATGGCTCCAGGACAGATGTCCATGTGGCAGACATCTGCTGATCCGTCTGTCCACTGACGGACATCTGGGCGGTCCCACTTCTTCGGCCGCTATATGTAACGCCGCTGTGGACGTCCATGTACAGGTTTCGTGTGCACGTGGGTTCCCACCTCCCTCGGACACAGCCTGGGTCAGGCAGTGGCTCCTGGCTCCTGGCTTCCGAGGAGCGACCAGACTGTCCCAGAGTGGCCGCTCCAGTTCACGTTGCCGCCAGGAGTGTCGGCAGCCAGGCCCCCTCCTGGGAACTGACTTCACACCACCGTGCAGCAGGTTCAAGTTCATCGATGGACCAGCTTCCCGGGGAGCAGTGGGAAAGGCCACGTGCTGCCGTGTAGGGGCTGGGTCAGCACCGGGAAGCCGGGGAGGTGAGGGCACTTGGGACAGACTCCCGGGGCAGGGCCCAAGCGTCGGCTCAGGCGGGTGGGGCAGGGCGCTCAGGTCACTGCAGTGCTGGCAGGACCCAAAAAGAGCAGACGGACCACCTCCCCCTCTGCCCGGGGCCCCCAGGGTCTATTGCCCCCTTTCCTGACTGGCCAGGCCCGGCCTGCAGGGGGCCATGGGGAGCTCACGGGGGCCTGGGCCGGCATCTCCTGTTATTGGCCGAGCCCTTTCCCTTGTGACGTGATTTTAGCCGAGGAGAAGACCCAGTCTGTCCTGGACCGAGAGGCCTTCCCGTGGGAACTGTGGAAGCCGCCCTGGCTTTTCTGAAACAGAAGATGCTCCTCCGGGACCCTCACATGACCCCCTCCCTGGTCAGTGCCAGGGAGGGGAGGGTGGTTAGCTGGGAACCTAGAGCCACACGCAGGTGGCCTCTGCAAGGGCAGGTGCCCCAGGCCAGCAGGGGGACAAGCCAGCGCTGGAGCTGAGTCCACATCCCCCCGGGACAGGTGGAACGGTATCTCCCAGAAAGTCCGTTCCAGTCCTGAACCCGAGTCCCCGTGCACGTGATCCTGACTGAAGCTGGGCCTTTGCAGACGCCATCAGTTTGAGGTCTAACCCAACGTGACGGGTGTCCCTCCAGGGAGAGGGAACAGAACCACGGGGTGGAGGGCGCAGGGCGGACAGATGGACACGCGCCAACAGAGGCTGAGCCCGAGACCCCAGAACGTGCCACCATGGGGGCTGGAAGGGGACCCCCGCCAGGGCCTCCAGAGGGACAGGCCGCCGACACGTGGGCTCCAGACTTCAGGCCTCAGGACCCTGAGATGAGGCTCTGCCGTCAGAACCCACCCAGTTCACCGTCCCTGCCACGGCGGCCTCAGGAAACCAGTGCTCTGTCACCCGTTTTGCTGGACAGTAACCGGGGAAGGGAGCCTCACACCCTGGCAGGCTCTAACCCGGCTCTTACGGGAGAAGACAAACCCAGGGGCAGTGGGTTAGAGGTGGGGGGCCTGGGTCCCACCGTACACCCCACCCTCCCAGCCCAGGACAGAAGTGGGACACAGCTGACCACAGGGACCCCCAGCGTCCGCTCCTGCAGGTGCGCCACGCTCGGGGCGTCCCACCTTCACCCCTCTTCCACTTCCGTGCCGATCCGTTTGTTCACAAGTAAAATCGAGTTAAACACTGCATCTGAGAGAGAAATTAAAATGGGGTGACTGCAGCCCCGACGGAGCCCAGGGGACCGGCACCCAGCAGTGTGTGAGGAAAGGTGTCTCAGTCGTCCCTGGAGGTCCAGTGGCCAAGACCCCACGCTCCCAAACTGCAGGGGGAGGGGTTCGATCCCTGGTCAGGGAACTCAGCACCTGCACACAGCATGGCGTGACCAGAGAGAAAAAACTTAAACCTGAGCCAGAGGCATGTTGGTACCACCTGCACTCGAGGAAGCCTCCCAAAGGGCAGACGTCTCGCCACGTGTCTCCCTGAGGTCTGATCCAGAGATGACGGCAGGGGCGCCCAGGGCGTCTGACGGAACACATCCTCCAACACGGAGCCCCGGGCCATGACCCTGACCGTGCCATCAGCTCCGTCCCCTGGGGGAGGCAGCTCCGGGGGAGAGGGGCGGACGTCCTGGGAGCTCTGTCCCCCCAACCTGGCCTGGCTGCTCCCAAAACACCTGCCTCCTCCAGCAGGACGGAGTGGAGGGAAGGGCGAGGCCATCTGCTCCTGCCTCGCGACGCTGAATGGCCCACGGGATCCAGGGAGAGGCGTCAGCCCTCCAAGCCCCACCCAGGGTCTGCCTGGACTTCCAGGGGTGACAGCCTTTCCTTCCCGCTTCCTTCCCCCAGCCTTGTTCTCATTTTTCATGTGTGCTAAATCACTTCAGTCATATCTGAGTCTGTGACCCCACAGACCACAGCCTGCCAGGCTCCTTGGGACTCTCCAGGCAAGAACACTGGAGGGGGTTGCCATGCCCGCCTCCAGGGGATCCTCCCGACCCGGGGACGGACCCTGCATCTTATGTCTCCTGCACTGGCAGGCGGGTTCTTTACCCCAAGTGCCACCTGGGAAGCCCTTCTCCCAGACTTTGTTTTCTAACTTATCTTCAAATATTCCCAAACTTGACTTTAAAGATAAATGTGATATTTTCCAGCATCGAGTTCACACCAGAATTTTAAAACTAAAAAAAAACTGCAAAAGAAATGATAAAGGTACACACATGCAGAAAACAAATCAGACAATAAAGCGACAAGTTTATAACATAAGAAAAATAGTCAGTTTAATAATTACAGCCACAGAGCGTGAATAGTCAAGACCAGGACACCGGGGCGCGGGGGTGGGGGCGTTCGTGGAGGCCCCCCACGGCTGTGAACATCCCACAGGGGCCCGCGGGGAGTCCCCGACAATGGTTCAACGCGCCGCAGAGCACACCTCCCGGCCGCGGATAGCTCCGGCACGTCCCCTCCCGCCCGGGCCAGGACGTCGCTGTCTCCTTGTCTGTGGGAGGTGGGGCAGAGGCGACTCCAGCAGGCAGACGGCCCCTTCCTGACATCCCCTGGGAGCCCGGGCCCCTCGAGAGTCCCCCGGAGACACGGGGGCAGTCCACTGACAACAGGGCGGGTCTGTAGGAAGAACCGCTCAGATGCATCGTCTGTGCTCCCGGGAAAGCTTCGTAAAAGCCCTGGGACCAGGGAAGGACACGTCACGCAAGCATGTCGACGGCCACCCCTGGGGAGGAGGCGCGGTGAGAAGACAGGATGTGCGCCCCCTCGATGCTCAAGTCAACAGTTAAGGCAGGTTCTGCGGGCACCCCGTCGGGGTGTGGGCGGCAAGACCACCCGCCACAAAGTGCTGGAGAGTCAGGCGATGACTAGTTCCTGAGTTAGAATTTGCTCGAGACAGCAAACTTCAGTGCACGGATTGGATTGTTTCCCACTGCGAGGTCTCACGGGTCACCAAAGGGCCTGCTGTGAAAACGGGGCTCACCAAACACTGCAAGGCCGTCGTTTCCAGCCCCACCAGCAACGAAGAAAACAAAACGCTGAGCACAGGAAGCCGGCAGTCCCCGTTACAAGGTCAGGCGTCCTCACGGTGGTCAAGGCCGACACCCCTGGGAGCGCAGGAGGCTGAGGGCGCGGCCGCGGGCGGGACCGGGAGTCCAGGCCAGCTGCTCCAGCTCAGGGGCGTCCGGCCGACGTAGACAGAGGCGCAGACCAGTCACGTCTGATACCGTGCGGGCATTTCCAAGACGCCCCTGATTCAGGGGCTGGGGTTTGGGCTTTTAAAGACATGATGCTTGTCTTCTACGAGTTCATCTCACTTTACAAACGACCTCTTCAGAACAGCGGGGCGCAGGAGCAGGTCCCGTGAGCCGGCTGGGCCCCAGGCCCCCTCCTCCAGGCCCTGGCCATCTGGACTCGGTGTGGGGTGGGGTGGGGGGCCCGGTCGTGAGCCCTACTCCTTGGGGTGTCTCAGGCGTGTTCTATTGCTTGATTCGTGCAGACACTGCCTCCTCAGTGAGCACGGAAGGCCTGCCCGCGCCCAACAGGATGGCAGGTTTTGGAGCCAGAGCAGCCTCAGGCAGAGAGCCCGCCTGCGCCCGGCAGAGCGTCCTCACGGGCTGCAGTGACGTGCAATAAATAACACACTTTATTTACAGGCTTCAGGGAGCTCACACCTTCGGGGAGGACGGGACAGTACACCTGGCCGAGTTCCCAGGCCAACCCCAGCCAGGCACCCTCCGCCACGCACGTCTCACACAAGGCGGGCGTGCACACACCCGTCATGGGGCCCTCTGGCAGCAGACGCGGCTCCCGGGTTCAGCCCGAGTGCTGCACGTGGCCTGCGACCCCGCTCGACCAGGAGACTGGGGGAGCGGAGGAGATGGGTCCCTGCAGGTCTAAGCAGGTGAGCCGCAGGCAGACACCGTGCGAGGGGTTTCTGGAGCGCGGCAGCAGAGCAGGCACCCCCAGAAACAGCTGCAGGTCTGCAGCCTCCGGTCCCCACGAGCAGTGAGCACACGCCCCAGGGCGCGGGAGCAGGGAGGTGAGCGAGAGGGGACTGCAGCCCAGCAGTCAGCCCAGATAGAAACACCGCCGGGTGCGTCCAGAACAGGGCATTTACAGGGAACGTACATGTAACATTGACACATATTCACTCGGAGCCCATGAGTCCAGACGCCATCACTGCACTTATTGCGGAACGAGGTACTGGGTGTGGGGGGGGACGTGGTCTGGGCTCGGCCTGGAGCTCACGGCCGCCCGGCTGCAGTCTCCACGCACAGCCCCGCCTGCAGCCTGAGGGTCAGGGGCGGGGGTCGTGGGGTTCTGGCTCAGGCTCAGTCTTGGAAGCGGTCTTGACAGAGCACCAGGACGCCCCTCAGAGGTTTGTCTCATCCCAAGCAGGGTCATTCATGTTCTTGAGCACCTTCCTCACCAGCTTCTCCAGGTCTTTGCGGGCTCTCTGCTCCTCCTCCAGAGACTTCTTCATCTTCTTGTTGTCCTGCGGGAGAGGCAGACCGCAGGGGGTTAACCGCCATTGGCACCAAAGGGGCCCCCTCCCCGAGGAGATGGGGCCGCACTGAAGGGGCCCACCCTGCACGGCGGCCAGGGGCGCGGCTGACGGGACCCCCAAGGGTCTCAGACGCAGGGTGGCTCCTGGCGCCAGGACAACCCACAGACGGAGCAGGCCCGGCACTCCACTTACGACTGTGAACCAGAGAATCTACAAAACACAGCGTGAGAGTGGCCGAAAGGAACGGGCCAGGGCTCACATCCCTCCTGCTCTCCCGCACCTGCGACAGTCTCCACAGCACTAAGAAGGGGCACAGAGACGGGGAGTCAGGGGCCCTGTCGCCCCTCACCGCAGTCAATGCCAGCATGGCAGTGAATCAGGGGCCCCGTCACCCCCCACCGCGGTCCATGTCAGCGCGGCCCCTGGACAGGCAGAGCGGCAGGCGGCCGGCTGGGGGCAGCTGTGGATGCGTGGTCAGTGCCCTGCCGTCCGTCCAGCCCAGGCCAGCCGCGAGCTGCGTCTCACACACGGAAGCCACTGACACAAACGATGCAGCTCATACAAGTCTGCTCGGCGAGGCAGCCCAGTCTAACTGGCTTTTTGATGGGTCTTCTCAAGAACCAGGACCACACGCTATACTGGAGTGACAGAGAACAGTCCCTGTTGGCACCTAACGAGACGTCTGACCAGAAGCAACTTCAGATGTTTTCACAATTGTTCCGGGAGAATCTGAGATGTCTGATGACACCCAGACAGGGCAGTGGAGAGAACGCCTGGCAAGTCGCCTTAGATGCACTTCCTGCCTCTCACACTCAGACCCACTGCTGACCTGCTGCGGACCCGGACCCCGAGGGGAGGCTCCTGTTCTGGCCTGTGGTGCTCGCGGACACCGTGGTTTCCTCATCGGGCCATTCAAACGATTACCGGCAGACGACAACTCACCTGTCGCAACTCCTGGACTTCATCTTTTAGTGCGTACACGGTGTCGACGAGACTCCTGGGCAGAGAGGGGGCACCCTGAACAAGGGTCGCGAGCACCCTGCTTCGCCCCACGCCCGCCACCCGCCCTGCCCGCGCACCCAGGCCCACTCCGGGAAGGCCCGATGCCACGCGCAGGGTGTGGACCTCAGCCAGGAAGCCCTCCCCGCCACAGACACTCAACACTGAAACACAGCTTACTTTTCTTCTATCACTGTCTGACCGTTACTTTTAGTCTCTTCAACTATAATTTTCTCTTCTTCTGGAAGCAAAACTTGCGGAGCAGATTCTTTGCGTGAACCTGTCATCATTAAAAGAAAAAAAAGAAACCCACAGGTAAATACCACAGCAGAACTAAAAGAACTCGACTATACAACACTACTTAATTATTAATATTAAATTCCAGGTGTTAATTCCAGTTATGTTAAGAAATACATCATCTAGATAAAATGGGGATGGGTAACCTTTACCAACTTCCTCTCCCTCTGCAGACTGTAGCCAAGTCTTCTTCAAGCCCATAGCATGACAGGGGAAAGGAAATGTTAGCTTTTTTTTTTTTTGCAATTTATTGAGTTTCAGTTTATGAATCTGGATTATTGATCTTTTAAAAATTTTCAACACATAGTAAGTTGAAGATTCTGACCATGTATTTTGGGAGGAAATAATCAAACTTCTGGGGGATACTCAAATCAACCAAATTTTGTGCCATTTTATTCCAGGAATCTTAGAACAGAACTATCAGATCACGCAGAAGATATATTCCAATATTTATCATGTCAGTGAACTGGTCCTTAAAACATTTAACTCCAGAGCAACAGCTAAAAGTGTTACAGCACATGGTTAAGAAAAAGTTTATTACTGATCCTCTTATGAAAATAGTATTTACATTCCCTGGAATATAAACATTTTTCCAAAAGGAGGAACACTGTTTACAATATTAGAGGAATATTTATGTCATTTAACCAAGACCCAGCACAAAAGCTTACCCAGGACAGTGGCCAGAGAAACCGCTACTGCAGAACAGTTCTTCAGAAATTAACAAGAATCAAACCTCATTTAAGGCGCAAAGAAGAGAATCACCTTTTAAAGAGTTACGCAGCACTAACGTGTATCACTCCTAGTTTTGAAAAATGACATCAGATGCACATCTGAGGAGGGATGTGACCCGCCGCAGAGCCCCTGCTAGTGGTTACTGCGATAGACGCAGCTTTTTCTCCGATACAATCCACACACTCTAACCACGGAGGTGGCACTTCGGCTCGCCCGACCTCGTCTTCTCGGCTTCACCCTCGGTTCACCTTCCCAAAGGTCCGTCACACTGGACGAGGGCCCAGGGCATCCTCATGTAGCGGGAGCATTTGGTACGACATACGCTTTCAGGACGGGACTTAACGGTTCCACCAGCATCTCACTGCAAGCTCACCCTCCTCTGAACAGAACAGGGCTTGTGGCGGCTGTCATGGGGCTGACATGACGCTCCTGACGTGGGGACCGAGCGCCCCCTTCACTCCCAGGGCGGCTGGCGACAGTGAGGAGGGTCTGGTTCACCGGGCCGGGTCCCCCTGCTGGCCGCCGTGTGGGTGTCTGTGAAGCCCCGCTCCAGCCCCGTCCCGCAGGTGGGAAGGCCGTCTACACCCCAGTGTTGGGCCTAAGAGGGAGGAGGCCGCCCGGCCCAGAAAGGGACAGCACCACGTTACAGCGCCAGTGTCTGGACAGACGAGTTTCCTATACCAGCCAAGGCACCGCGTCTATGTGTCCTAGGACGTAGGTGTTATAACCACGGGGACTGCTCGGAGCCCTGCCACGGCCGGGAGGAGCTGCCGTGCCGGAGCACGCCTGTACACAAACTTGTCAGCTGCTGTTTCACGGACGACCTTCCACCAGTGACCTGGTGCTCACACCGAGATGCGGGTCCTGGGGTGACAGCTCCAAGGCTGCAGGGTGCAGGGGGCAGGCAGCACCCCACCCGGCACGGTGACCGACCTGCAGGCTTTTCAGACAGAAGGCGATGTCCTCCAAGCCCTGGGCCTGGGGAGGGACACGTCCTGAAAGGCTTCATCCTGCCGATGGTGATGACCGGCTCCAGGGGCTGTGTGCAGGGCTGTGGCCATGCTGTCTTCCAGGCCTTTCTCAGCACACACTTCTGGGAGGTCTGGGCCACGTGGGGAAGCACCGCTTAGGGAGGAAACGTGCACGGGCAACACGACTGGGAGGCACAGGGGTCGCCGGGCTAAGAACCTGGAGTCCAGGACGCGCCCGGGCTTCCGGCACCAACACTGGCGCTGGCCATGCTCCCACTGGGAGGAGGGAGTGCGTGCTATTTTCCCTGAAAACAGACAAGCATTCCTAAGGCCTCCGCTGTGCGGACCACACGTCAGGGGGTGAAGGGCTCTCCTCCCCTGTAAAGAGAAGCATGCGGGTGACTCGGGGCCCCGGCGCCCCTGGGGTCCCCACTGTTACCTGCTCTGCCCTGGAAGCTAAGCTGGGTGCAAGGCAGGCCAAGGGCCACTGGGGTGGGCAGGTCATGGGTGGCTTGTAACATGACGTTTCTTCACCCCAACTAATGAGGTAATGAGACCACAGGCTGAACATGTTTTTTCATGAAAGTGCTTTAGGAATATTAAATTCTATGTTTATTTCTTCTCAATTATTTTTGCATCTTCTAGCTTCCTAGGCAACCTATTGACATTGCGCTTACAGCAACGAATTCTTCAAACAGTACACAGGACAGAACCGCGGGGGGCGGGGGCAGTGGTGCCCACCCTGGGAGCAGGGGTGTGCAGGGACCGGGGCTGCGCGTCTTGGTAAGCTCAGGCCTGACAGCGAAACCCGGAGCCTCAAGCCCGTCTGCCGTGAAAAGAGGGCAAGACCGACTGCCTCGGCACAGCTGTTCTGGGTGTCAGCTCAGAGGTCACTTTGATTAGTATCTTCTGCCAATGAAGTTGTAACTATGCACCCCACAATGTGAGGTGACTGTGAGACCTGATCCAAGAGCTGCATGTGCAAGGACACCGTTCTCATCTCGGCAAATACACTGAAAGCACGCGAGAGAAGGCTACGTGACGGACAGGAAGTGCCAACTGCTGGATTCCTGAAATATGCCGAGGTGAAAAAATGCCACTGAGGATGTGCTGGTGAGCCAGCAGGCTTATCAGTGAAGATTATTCATCGGCCTGCACAGAACTCCACAGGCTGCCTAGCTTCAGCATACTTTTGTGAAACAACTGAAAAAAAACTGCAAGTCTTTCAGCAAAACAACAAAGGAATATTCTCCTGCCAGTATTATAAGTAAGTCGACTATTTCTATAAGAACAAAGTTCTAGAAAATAGGTAGATTTAACAAGCTCTCTCCAAGATCAGTTTAGTACTTTTAAAGGCATCACAGCAAATCTTCTCTGAATTAGTTAAGCTGGAAAAAGAATTCAATAGCAGAACCTCCGAAGACCGCTGTCAGTTTGAAATCCTCTACTGAGAGGGGCCAAGACACAGGTGTGAGTGTTCACAAGGCACCAGCACACACAGGATCTGTGTCTCCCCAACTCTGTGCTCAACACGAAGCTCCGTGTTTCCAGGAGACCACTGGGATTCTGCAGCACATCATTTTGGAAAACGCTGAGAGCTGTAGCCACTTCTTGGAGGGTCACAGTGCTTAAGATTTCCAGCAAAAATACCCATTTAACCTGAATTCAGCACCTAAATCTGAGTGCTGAACACCTTCTCCATCATCAGGAGGAACATTTTGCAGCTTTCCGGCAAATGATCTGAGGAGTGCGAGCCAGCACACGACCCCGCACGTGTCTGTGAACACACACACAAGCACTGCGCGGCTGTTGTCTTTCCTCAGGGCGAACCCAGCCCACGCCCGCTGACAAGCAGTGCGGCCAGCAGGGGTAGCTCTGCGCCCTCAGCTGGGGATGAAGCAGGCGCTGGGGACCCCTGGAGCTCAGCGTGGGAACACAGATAGGTGCAGCGCCCCCACCTCGTGGACAGAGGGCTTGCCCGGACAGCAAGGAGACGGCCTCGACCCAGGGCGCGGGCAAGGCTGGCAGGCCACCCCCTGGGGGCACCCCCGATGGCCTGCAGCTCCCAACCCAGGGAATGCGCGGTGCGTGTGGGTCTGGGATGCGGGTTGGCCTGCCCGGAGACCCTGAAGACCCTATGTGTAGGGTCTTTCAGAAGGGAACGTCCGCTTCTCCGGCCAGCGGTGGAGTACCTTGACAGCACAATTCACGTGACCTTAACTCACAGAAACTGAAGTAACTTTCAGCATGAAACAAAATGTTAACATTTTAAAAATTATACTTAGTAAGATCTCTCCAGTAGGCCACTCTGTTATTTCTGGCTGTGATAGGATTTCAATTCATTTTTCTTAGGAAAAAACAAAACAGAAACACACGCCCCTCTTCAGAGAAGGATGTACACCTGGTCGTCATCTGCACCCTGCCCTGGCCCCATAACTCCACAGGCACTTCTTTTCCTCCCATTCTGCTTTTTCGAGTCAGCTCGACATACACCCTACAAATAAAAACTAAAACCTGAGACCTTAGTCTACAGAAAATAAACACTGAATGGTAGGCTTTTTTCCATTTATGCACACCCCTGACTCCACCAAAAGAGGAAAGAGAAAGCTCTTCTTTCTGAAGACAAACCTCCCAGTGAGCGAAAACTTCTTTAAAAAAAGAATTAGACGGAAACAGATGAAATAAACATGTGCAGAGTCGTCTTGCATCATCTAGAACATATTTAACCTAAGACAGTGCGGGCTTTGCCATCGAGGCAGGTACAGGGTGCCCCACTGCCCCGCCGTCCTGCGGAAGACGCTAGTTCCCAACAGCCACATCACAGTCAACTGCAAATTCTGCTCCCCCGACCCCAGCCCCCACCATGTAACAAATATTAAAAGCCAGAGGCTAGCAAATGCAAAATTTATTTCAACTGTACATAACAGATGTCTTTTTTTGAATATAAAACAAACACTTCATTGCCATATGCAGCCACAAACAGGAATATGCATACTGTACAGTACAATGCAACATCCAGGTACACAGCCGACTGAGTCCAGAACGGCAGGCGCCCACGGAAAATGGCTTTCCCGTTCACAGATTAAAAGCACAATACGCAGACTTTTTTCAAGGTCTTCACCACTATATACACATCCCTGTGTTTTGGCAGTTTTATGCAAAACACATAATATAGCTTATAGACTTGTGGCAAGTATCAATTCAATGGGAACACCATTTGAGCCATTGGCAAAGGGCCTGGAAATGGCTTAAACCTGCCCTGCAGCTCAGAATCTTCGCCCGTCATTGTAACACTAACTGTACACAGAGATATTACAGAATGGCAGAAGCACAGGTACTATTACGGCATGACTGAAGTTCCGCAACAGTGGAAACACTGGCCGTGGCGCTCCTTCTCCTCGGCCCCATGAGAATGGCTGTCAAGCCAGTGGTAAGAATACTTCCAACTAGGTCACAAGGACAAGAGGTGCCAGACTTCAGAACAAACCCAGACAGACAGACAGCCAGGTGGTCATTCTGTAGTGATCTTAGTTAGAATCAACAGAAAATCATTGTCAAAATGACTTTAATTGGCACAAAGAGGAATTATGGGAAAACAGGAAAACTTTGGTGTTTGGAATACCAATGTCAGGACAACCCAGATGATATTTGGTGTTCAAGAGAAACCCAGGTACACACAGCACATGGCCCAAAAACCCACATGCACCAACGCCCGGCCCAGCACACTCAGTCTCTGAGCATAAAGACCCTGCACTGTGAGATCCTGGAAAGCTGTGACATCACCTGATGTGACCTGAAGTGAAACAGACGCTTCTGAATGCACTGCATGACATGAAGCATATGAGCCTCACAGTGACCGTATTTCTCCCATAACCCCACCTGCTACTTGGCTGAATGTATATAAACCCCTCTCCCCAACGGGCGAACACTGGGCTCCGACTAACTCTAAAAGACTGCTCCTCAACTTTCTTATTTACACTAACTGATACAAAAATATGAATTCTCCAGGTGGCATGAGCAGTTCAGCAGACACCTGGGGACTGACAGACGTGTGTGACTCCTGGTTTCCTAACGAGCCCCTGCCCAGGACACTGGCCCTCCAGCACAGCGCCTGCCGGGACCCCGGGAGGGCCGTGGGGACCAGCACCGTGCACAGCTGGACCAGCTCCCCGGGCACACAGCCACTCTGTGCAAACGAGCTCAGAACCCTGCACACCTGGTGCTGGAGGAGGCGGGGCGCTGGGAGCACAGGGCCGGGCCACCCACACGGAGGGAAGACGCCGCCCCCGACTGTTACGGCATCTTGCTTTCTGAGGCCAGCTTCGCGGCGTCCCTAACGCACAGCTGAGTGTGAGGGGGAGGGGCCCCACCCTCCCGCGCAGCGTGGACTGTGTGTGGACTGGTGCCATGAGTGCGTGCCACGGGGCACAGTCAGTTCTTAGTGAAGCAGGAACCAGTCTGAGGGAGGGTAGTGAGGAGCTCCCACAACAAGCCCCAGGGAAGTTGGGGGCACACCCAGATCTGAGATGTTCTCGTAAGCGTGTTACACGGCAATTTGGTAAATGTTTGGGGACTTGCATCACCATGACGACCAAGAGTGAGGGTGATGTTCCACCAGGGCTGTGAAGGGAGGCCCTGCAGCTGAGAACAAGCACGTATGCCCACGGGCAGCAGGCTCCGACCTGGGAGTCGGGGTGGCCAGGCTTCCTGCGTAGGCACACAGCCTGACCTGTGCCCTCGGAGGCTAGACTTCCGCCCTGCCCTGCAGGGGCACCGGCTTGCCAAGCGCCTTCTAAAGGAAACTCCTCCAACTAACGGAAGTCTGGGGGGATGACACGCAGGTGTCTGGCCTGTGGGGAAGCAGGGCCCGGAGCCGGCCATCTGCGGGGTGTGGACGTGCCCCTCGCGCGCTGGCCCACCCCGGAGCCCACACCCGCCGCACTGACAGAGGCTCCTCCAGGGCAGCCGAGCACTCGGCCGTCCGGTCTGGACTCAGCTCTGGAGGCACGGTTCTTCTCATCTCTCCACCTACTGGACTGCCGCGTCCCGCACACACACAATTACATCCCTGTATGGAAGGCCAGAGTCTCCTCCACGTCGCTTAGGTCACTTAGATCACAGACCTGTGTGGTTTCAGTATAAAATACAAAAGTGTTCATATAGCTGTATCTAAAAAGAAACAAGACAGTCGCTACGCTGAGAATAAAAAACCTAACCGTGCCACGTGGAGCTGTGAGACCACCACTGCCCGTGGGCAAAGGACCCTCGGTGTGGCTGTGCGGACACGCCACTGCTTTCAACAGTCAGTCGCTTTCGTGGACACTCCACGTGGCCAGTAAGCCCCACAAAGTACAATGGGAAACATGTGAAACGCTCCCCAAAGTTGTTAAAACATCACATAAGAGACAAGAAACCGCGAGAGAACGTCTAAGAAAAGCAGGCTGCGGACAAGCATCGTTAAGGAAAGCTGAGAGGCGCGTTAGTTCTGGTGAGAGATATATGAGCAACAGCTCTTACGAGGTGTAGAACCCATCCTGTAACTATGGGCTGTCCATATACTGTCATAGTCAGAGTCTTCCGAGAAGTCTGAAGGCTCCACACGGGACAGGCTGCTGCGACGACCCAAGGAGTCTAGACTTGACTGGTCGTCGTCAGCCAAGACGTGATTATGCATCAGGTCAGTGCCCTGCCATGCTAAGACGGGTGGGGGTGGGGTGGGGGCGGGGGGGGAGGGGCAGGCGGAGGGGAGACAGGCAGAGGAGGGGCAGGCGGAGGGGGGCGAGCAGGAAGATGGCAGGAAGAGCCACAACCAAAACATGAAACAAACGCAAAAGGTGACGGGAAGAGAAGGGAAAGAGAAAAGAGTGTTAAAAAACGGCAGCAACGTTCATTTCTCCTTATCTACGGCTGCGTTTCATTTACTGACTTATTAATTAGCACGACTCTTACAACAAAGCTAGATCTATGATTATTTAAATAAACCTATGTATCACAATACCATTTCCAAACTGCTCCTTTTTAAGGTTACTGCTATTAGGCCCTCACTTACAAAATCTTTTATGAATTAAGACCACGATCACAAGAAAATTCTAAAGACATAGGACAAATAACCAATTCTGTTACACATTCAATTAACAAATAGTCTCATTTAGGACATTATTTGTACAAGGAAACATTTATGAGGTTAATGTGGATATACTGATTGTAAAATACTTCCCAAGGATTTCTGACTTACTTCTTCAGCTACCTCTCTGCCAGACTAGAAGCCATCTTAATGATGGGGGTCTAAACTTACCTTGTCCAACTGTAATGACTGCGAGAACTTCCGACGGAGACGGGGTGACGCAGGCCCCACCCCCGCTTCCCCACCCTGCAGAGCACGCAGGCCTCCAGCCAGGAGCACCCACCCACAGGAGCCAGGGGAGTGGGCACGCGGGGAGACACGTCTGGCCGGACACATCAAGTCTCATGCTGACCCTCCCCTGACACGAGGGGAGCTGTGAACAGCAGCCCCGTGTCAGGGGGAGGGCGGCAGGAGGCGGCAGGCGTGGACGGGAGGGTAGCAGTCCACACTGAGGCCGTGTGGGTGATGCGGGCGTCTTGCACCCAGGTGCGCTGCACACAGCTGAGCCTCAGGTGGGGACGCGCATGCCATGAGGACAGAGCCGGCCCGCCCGGCCCGTCTGCAGAGTCTGCAGCACTCCACCCGGCCAGCGTGGGGGACACAACTCCTGCTGTTCCTGACAACCGTGCATCAAGGCCAGTCCCAGGCCCCAGAGGGTGAGGCCGTAACGTCAGTTACAAACAAAACCACTGTGCTGGCCGATGTTCAGTGCTCTTCCTGCACAGCAGAAGTGGACACACAGGCAACGTGGCGAGACCTACACAGTCCAGGCCTGTCCCCCGGGGAAGAAACGAGGCCCACACAAAAACACAAAGCTCACGTCACTAGGTCTGTTCACCTGAGATGGCCAAGCTCAAGTTTCACTTCATACAGCTGAAGTAGAGTAATTTTTTAAAAATCTCAAACTCAAAACCCAAAAACTACAGGCACATACGGCCTATTACCCAAAATGCAGTCTCAAACAGGAAACTGTCCTGTCCTCAGAGACAATGGTCTGTGCTCACAGCCTACAGCCCCATCACCTGCAGACTCTCGCCACGCGCACACCCTGCTCTTCCTCACCTGCTCTGAGCACCGGTCACAAGAGACAGGCGTTCTCACCAGAAGGGGTGCAGACCAGCTGTCCCAACATCACGGGCGGGACGTGTCAAGAATGAGCCAGAAAGAAGGTTCCAAATCATCTGCAGCTGTACCCAGGGCTAATCCTGTTGGCTCTAGCCTCACACCTGCAGTCACCTTGAGCAAAAGCTAAGTTAAAGCACTTGACTATTCCTTTTTCCACCTTTTCTTTCCAGCATTTTAACAACAGACCTGACACCGACTGGAAGCACAACGTCACACTGCAGGTGGTACAGATGACGTGACGAGCAATTCACCAAAGTCCAGATGGAGAAGGGAGCCCAAACACAACACCTAATAAAAGCCGGTTTTCATGCCAGAATTAATGTCATCCAGTCTGAGGCAGGAGAGGCTCAGCCCTGTTTCCTCCTGAACAGACCACATCCTGACTATATCCACCATGCATGCACTCCACTCTCAAATGCTCAGGAAGTTGGGGAAAAGAAAGAATCCACCTTTTTCCTGTTCACACAACAGATTAAGATTTTTTCATAGAGGACATTATAAGTAAGATGAAGGTACATTGAGAGGTACTGAAATCTACCCAGTAAATTCACTGGTGTCTACAGCAAAAATTCTAAACACAATCATTTAAGGGGGGGGAGGGCGGGGGGAGTTGCTATTAAAAAGACAACTCTTAACTCTAGGCTTGTGTTTTTGACAATAATTCTAAGAAACTCTTCCCTCAAAAAAAATTAAAAAGCCCCACTCCCACACCAGCAGTTTAAGCAGCCTGACCAACTGAACTGAGAGTGCGTTCCCGTGTCTTAGCACAAGCTGTCCTCTCCAGGCCCCAGAGACTCCACGCCCTGGCAGCGCCCTCGATGCCAAGGTCTCCCAGCGGGGCCGTGTCACTGACTGCTCAGACCCCTTTCTCACGACTGAGGGATGCGGGCCAGGCCGCAGAAGCAGCCTCACTAGGGGCCGCGCCGAGAGCCTGCATGGGGCCCAGCCGCATCCTTCGGGGTGTGATTTTAGGCAGAAGGAACCAGCAGTGGCAGCGGGCCCTGGCGATACTTACTTGAGTTGAGTGTCTGCCGCGTCTTGGCGCTGGTGCAGTAAGCCTCAATGACCTTCAGGATCTGGGCATCCTCCTCCAGCGCAGCCGTGCCTGCGAGGGACACACAGCCGTCACCGCCCGAGCCACCAGCACAGCCTGGCCAGCCACTCACCAGCGGTGCTGACAACTGACGCCCCCCCCCACCCCCCGACTTCATACCAGATAAACATTTCCCGATATTCACAGAATAGTTATGTTCCAAAGGACATTTACTTTTTCTATGTATTTTTTATCTACAACATATCTGGCAAAGAGCTAAAACCCAAATATATATATATATATATATGTCTGTGTGTGTGTGTGTATATATACACATTTATACATATATATATTTGTCTTACTAATCCATAGGAAAAAAGGTATTCCCCATCCTAAACATGAAAAAAGAAACAGAAACAATTCACGAGAGAACACAGAAAGAAAAATGTCCATTGTCACCAAGAAAAGATCACAAGAGAACACAGAAAAAAATGTCCATTGTCACCAAGAAGTGAAAATTAAAACTAGGGATGGTGTTTTCACATATTGCCTCAGAAAATCAGAAACCACGATTCTCCGTGTGGTTGCAGCTATCAGAAAGAACTTCCTGCACCCACACATGGGAGGCAGAGAAGACAGGAACAGCCCCTGGAAAGGCCACTTGACCCTATTTACCAAAGGCTTGCGAACAAGCGCTTCCCTGATCCACAGACTGCCACCAGAGAGTTAATCCGGGAAATTCACAGAGTACAGCCCAGAGCGTGTAGGCAGGGCTCCAGAGCTTGGCCTGAGCTGGGGCCCCTCCAGACAGGCCTCACCTGCACCCGGAGGCCACCTGGTGGAGCACGGAGCCTGTGGAGCAGCAGTGTCTGATGGTGCTGGTGCCAGGCAGCCCTCACACCCCACATGCTTCAAACCGCTGTAGGGTTAAATTCTGCTATCGTTCTAAATGTTTCTATATTTTCTAGGATATTAGATACGTATTTTTAAAGGCTCAACTAATTTGCAAAAAATGGGAAGAATGGAGGACTGAGCCACTTATAAGCTGTACCAAAAATGCTCAGACAGCATCTCATGATATTAAGATAGACACACGCAAGGCAGGCCAGGTGCTCCTTCCTAAGAGTCAACATCACACGGAGGGCTTAGGAGCCATCGCGAAACTGACTTACATGTCACCAGCTGGACCAGTCGTTTAATAGGTTTCTGTGAGAACAATGTTTAACTCCCTGCAGGATCCGCTGGGAGTCAGCGTCCACAGTGGGGAACGCTCACGGAGAGTGCTGCCAGTGCAGGTGCAGCTGGCACTGAGGGAGCTGCGCTGCCCCGCTCTGACGTCCTCGAGAGCGGACCCGAGGCTGGGCACTGGCTCCCCTCTGTGGCTCTGGAAAGCCCCGCCTCCATTCTCGAGGCCCCGCCTCCCCACCGAGGCTCCGCCCCACCCTCGAGGCTCCGCCCCACCCTCGAAGCCCCGCCTCCCCACCTTCGAGGCCCCGCCTCCCCACCCCTGAGAGCCACGTGTGTCCTCTCAGGCGCTCACTTTTTCTCAGTGCGAACTCCTCGTCTGAGGGCTTCCGCTCTGGCTTGCGCTTGGGGAGCAGCTTCTTCATGGTCTTGGGACTCTTGCTCAGGTCCTGGGGAAGGAGAGGGAAAGGCTGGCAGACCCTGGATCCGGTGGACGGGCACGGCTGCGGCGGAGAGGGAAGCCAGGAACACTCCAGTGCCCGCCCCGCACGCGCTAAGCGCGCTCTGCCAGCTGCGGAGCGCTGACATCCTCAGGCACAGGCTCTGATGGCCCTCCTTCACTGGTCCCGCCGGGGCAGGGACCACCGGGACCATGGCCAAGAAGGCGCAGCGGCCAGTGGTGCAGGGAGGCCAGCTTGCTGACGCCTGTGCAGGGAGCCACGTGCGCAGCCCACTCTGGGGCAGACCCGCTGCTGCAGCCAACCAGAAAGACAGGAGGAAACTATTTCTAAAAGAAAGGTGAGGAAAAACAATTCCTTCAGGAACGTATTCTAAGCCTCAAAGAGAAGAAAACGGAAAACAATCAGCCCACGGGCAGGACACTGGTGCCCCCTCCGCTGGCAGACAAAGCCCCAGAGTCCGTCCCTCCGTCCACAACACATCTGGATCCTCCGAAGGGGAAGGAGAGGAACAGCATGCACAAGCCCATGCGGCCGGCAACGTTTTGACTGTCAAGCACATACTGAACACCAATGTCAGGAAGGCTAACTTCTGCATCACTGACACATACACCACTGGTGAACCTCAAGAGGCCAATACGAGGCTGAGAACGTGAGTCGGGCTATGGGAGGGATCAGGGTGAAAAGCACCCAGAGACCAGAGCTTGCATTCCAAAATATCCCTCCAAAATCTGTGAAAGTGAAAACTTTCAAAGCGCTTGAAAATGCAGCAGAAATCATCAGTCCCCAAAGAAGTAAATGCAGCACGTGTCCCGAGGCCAGGGGGCGGAGGGGAAGCCGGGGCAGAGTGCCCCTCGGTGGTGCTCAGTGCTGGCCTTGCTCTAGGACCACGTGCTCCATGACCAGGCAGTCTGTGTGCTCAGCACACTGGACATGTTCACGGCCACACCCTCCAAGCCACACACCTCTCTCCTCTACCCTACTCCCCCCTCTCCTGTAATGAACCTGCAGCAGGGCTTGACCGCCCCCTAAACACTGAGCTAGGCAATGAGGGTGCCAAAATGCCCCTCTGACCCGGCACAGGGCCACCAAGAAGATACACGTCCTAAGAACCAAAGTTCACTAACAAAACCCATAAAGGATTAACTGTAATTTATGTTCTACTCTTCTATGTACCTTAAAATTCCTCCAGCAAGGATGGAGGCAGGGTCTGCCCCAGGTCCTTCGGCAAATGTGGCCTCCTAGAGATGCAATCCCACGCAAAGGTGCTTCACCAGGCTAACAGGCCCCGCCCACCAAGCTCATAGTCCCACCCACCAGGCCCACCGCACAAGCCACACCCCCACATTCATGGCCACATCCACACCAGACACAGTAACTGACCCCAGCTCACACTCAAGCTCATGCGTGTGATCACCACACTTGTCACTGCAGTCACCGGCTTCCTCACAGTGCACACACTGCTCAGAGCCGGCCCCTCTCCCTCTGTGATGGGCACAGAGGGGACTGCAGCTGGGGTCTCACCAGGACTCCGGGCCCTGGAGCACAGGAGGGGCGACATGGGAGTGAAGGCAGAGCCTCCCTTCTGAAGTAGCTCATCGGCCCCGCACCACAGACGCAAGCTCGCTGGCGCTCACCTCCTTGTAGCAGAGGGCAGCTGAGGGCCGCAGAGGCGGTGCGGGTCGCAGGCAGCTCAGGCTCCAGGGCTTGGGGGTCTTCGGAGGCTCCAAAGGCCCCCAGTTGATGGTGGTGTGTGGAGTGCCGTGGTGGGAGGGGTGGGGCAGCGTATGGTAGGCGGGCGTCAGCGGCGCGGGCTTGCTGTCCGCGTGCTTGCTGGACGGGGTGATGGAGTGGGAAGGGAGCTGCCGGGGACAGAAGGAGAGAGCAGAGCTCGTTCACCGCCAGAGGATCCGGGACCAGCCCAGCCTCCTCCCAGCACATCAGCGCCCACTCGCTAGCGTGCATCCTGAACCTCCAGACACTCGGGTTACTGGCTGCCAGGCCGAGCATCCCCCACACCCTGTGTGGGGCCCGCTGAGCTCAGGGCAGGAAGCAGCAGGCTGCTGGGTCCAGATCTGGAAATCCATTGACCGCCTTTAACTGCCATACAGTCACATTTGCAAAGAGGGCATTTCATTTAATACAGATATCAGGATTTTATAAAAGAATGGGCATTCCCTGCACTGGGAATGTGATTGGGGGAGGGTAATTATTACCTCCCCAGTGAAAGTAGGGATTGATCCATTTTTGTTTAAAAAAAAAAGTTTTCCTGGGACACACTCAGGCCCATTCGTGTCAATGGTTGCTTTTATATTATAAAAGCAAAATACAATTGTAACAGAGACCATATTGCCTAAAACCAAAAAAAATATTTACTGTCTTTTTATAGAAAAATTTTACCAATCCTTTGGGTAAAACATTTTCTCAGAAAAATCAGCTTTAATCAAGACAAAGTTATATAAATCTAACTTCTCAGAAGGATCTTATTAATGGGGTTTATACTCCTAGAAACCCCAGAAGTATTACATCACACTGACAAATAAGAAAATGTTAAACAAAATAAGTAACAATTCAAAATTAGCCGGTGACCTCAAATTAACCCAAAACAATATGGTATGCTTAACAGGAGAAAAAGTTGAGTTGTTCTGTGAGCTGGAAACCAAGAGTACGGTCATTATTCAGAAGAAATGAGTAACATTTGAAACACAGGCCTAAAGGGGAGCCTGGGCTAGAGCCGAGGCCGGGGCTCGAGGACAGAAGCAGTGGACCCTGCGGCGACCACACCGCCGCCCTGGGACCAGAGGCCAGGGCCCCAGCGCAGGGCTGCCTGAGGTGGGAGGTGACAGAGGCTAGCTTCAGGCTGGTACCACGTGAGTGAGAAGGCACTCCCTTCTGATGCGCACACATGTGCCCTTAGGATAAACTCAAGTCCCACGGAAGCTAAGCATCTCTAGCATACGTTTACAATATGGAAACACTGTCATGGCAGAACCATTCAAAATGATAGCTGAAGCAGATGAATGGTTTTTGCCCCCAGACTGCTGAGAAATGCAGTAAGAAGTTGCACCCGTGACCAGTACACTATGCCATGACCACCATCCCTGAGAAAAACCTTCAAGCCCAAGGACAGCGACCACAGGTGTGAACCACGTGGCAGAAGTCCCAGGAGAGACCCTCACAAGCCGGCCATGCCGTGCAGTCCGAGGTCACCGTGAGGAGGGCCCCGCATTCGTCAGTGCTTGCAGGGAAAGACGACAGGTGTTCAGATGACTCAATACCAGTATCTGAAGCAGGCAACACCAGTAAAGCCTTGCTTTAAGCACTGACACTTTGGTACTGATATATTTTGCAATGTTTAAGTATCTAAAAACTTGCAGAGCTGCTGAGCTTTTCTAAAAACAGAAAATTCAGATTTCTTAAAATGATGAGTCAAAAATTACACTTTAATGCCTTCAGCATGAATCTGGTCCTTTTTGTCATCATAAGTTTGGTTTTCATTTTTGTTTTTGATGAAACATGATAAATACAATTTAAATGCTCAGAAAACCCTTCTATGGACCAGTGGTTCTCAGGGTTTTGATTGAAACCTCCAAGGTTAGTGTTCATAGCCCACCCTGGGCAAGACAGCTACCTAACCGGGTGGCATGAACTGTGTGCGTCCATGTGTGTGAATTCTTGAGAGGCAGCACAAGCAGGCCTGGCTTACAAGTGGGTTCCCTGTGAAGCGATCATGGTCCACGGGGGATGAGGACACGTCTGCAGAGAGACCCAAGGCCCAGGCCATGCTCTCCTGACCTGGGGTCTGCAGTCGGGGGGCGGGATGGGGGCCCTTACGGTGTGGGACGGCACAGAGTGGGGCTTGACGGTGGGGTTCCCCGCCGACGTGACCTTCATCTGCTTCTGCAGGTGGTCCACCCACTCGTGGAGGTCCTGCTGGTTGTTGCAGGACACCAAGATCCGCTCGATCATGCTCCCTGGAAGAGACAGACACAGGCTGGCGGGGGAAGGCAGGGGCGGGAAGGGCGGCAGAGCGTGCGCACCCCGAGGAGGCCCACAGCACCTCCACGCAGCCCTCGGGGGGTCAGCGGGGCCGCTGCCTCGGCGCCCGAACAGAGAGCACCCACACAGTCTGTGCCTATCACCTGATATTTCAAACGCGTTTCTATGATTTTCACTGTCCTCAAGCTTTGTGATTGTCATTCCTGTCGTTGGTAGCTTTCCCTAAAAAAGAACCCCCCCCACAAAAAGAAACAATTAGTGCTTTTCTAGTAAAGAAGGTACCATTATTAAAGTAAATATTAAATGATTTTAGAATAGGCAGAGGAACTGTCTTCGTAAAGCAAAAACTCTCGTTTGTACCAAAAGCATGTATGATATAAAAACCTCTACTTGGAATAAGAAATCGTAATACTATAACCAAGAAATGAGCCAGCAAAAAGGTACAGGGCTGCAAACCAGAACAAAAACATTTCATCTGATGAGTTATTCTAAATATAAACAGCAAGACACAAAACATCATACACTATGATTAAAAAACTAGGGTCCACAGTGGCTATTTTAAAGGATGTTGTTTGTAGAAAGGAAGCACAGACACGCCTTAGAGGAACACAGAGGAAGTTCCACGTCTGAAGGCAAAATACAGGAAGCTGGAGCCAGAGGAGCTGTGTGAGGGCGGTGCCTGGTCGTCCGTCACCACAGCCCATCACAGCCGGGCCGGGCGCTGCACAAGACGCAGAGCGCGCACCAGCCCGCCCGCTCTGGAGACCGAGGGCGAGGAGGGAGCGGAGCCAGAACTGGGCCGCGAAGGGCCCAACTCAACTGACAGACACCAGAGCTGCGACCGAACGAGTGCTCAGGGAACGCCTCTCGGAGTCAGGGCCAGAGGCCCCCGAGGGCAGGACCCTGAGCAGGCGGGCAGCAGTGAGGCTGCAGGGCACAGGACTCCTGACACCCGGGCAGAGGCCGGGGGCCGAAAGCACCCCATGGGGCCCAGCCATCTTCGAATCCCCCTACAGGCCTCATCTAGTCCACAGGCACCAAGGCCCACGCTCAGGAGCCCGTCCCGCAGCCGGGCGGGTGGGACGGCCCCCAGGCGGGCACTGTGAGGTCAGGTATGGACACTGCAGACGCCCTGCCAAGGGGCTGACGGCACCGAGGTGACCAAGAGCTCGGAGCAGCCCAACAGGAAACAGCTGCGTGGCCCCGACTAGCCTGCAGCAGCAGCCACGGAGGGCAGGACGAGCTCGCTGTGGCCGGATGTGGGGCAAAGCCAGAAGTGAACATTGACATGCGTGCACTGTGGGGTCACAGCACTCAGAGAGAAGCCCCCTGGACAGCGCACCCGGGGGGAAACAGCCATGCGGCAGCACGCTGACGCCAGCGTCCTGGGGCCTGAGGCCGCCCCGGACACAACCGCAGCCCCACAGGTCACCGCAGGGCCCTGGGTCCCAGGGTGGGGGGAACTTCGAAGCCAGGGGATGCAGCTGGAAGGGACAGTGGTCGCTTAAGGTGGCGGCGACTGGCTTGGGGAGCCAAGCAGGTACTCCCTCAGCCAGGTGCTGGCTCAAGCACAGGCTTACAAATCAGGAGGCGATCCTTTCCTAGGCTGGCCCGTGCCTATCTGCTTTCTCACGCCTAAAGTGCTCCTTTCAGAATAAGTGTGCGATGCCAACTCCTTTCTGGGCTGCAAAGCTTTTGAGCAGGTACAAGCCAGCCATGAACACACTGGACTCACAACCCACCAGAGCACTTGTTGGGGACAAAAAACAGCGTGCCACATGTGCGGAAATGCAACTCAAGAGCAAACCCAGGGTGACTTCTGTGTGAATGGCTCCTGGCGACCAGTCAGGCCTCAAAAACTTGATGGAAGGGCCGCAGCTTCAAAAACCACACAAGACAAGAGCAGTCAACTTTGCCGGAAGCCCCACTAGACACAGAGAGAATGTGAGGCACCTAATGGGCTTCCCTGGTGGTTCAGGCGGTAGGGAAGCCGCCTGCACTGCGGGAGACCGGGGCTCCATCCCTGGGTTGGGGAGGGCCCTGGAGGAGGGCGAGGCGACACCACACTTTAAATTAACAGACAGAATCAGAAGAACTCTGCCCGTGCACTTTCTTCTTAAATCAGTCTCATATCCTCTCGAAGAAAAATCAGAAAAACGATTAGCAATAAAAGAGCTAAGTACACCCCCGGCGTGTGCCCGTGACTGCTGCTCCAGTGGGGGCCCACAGACCGGCTCAGCTGCACGAGTGCCGCCCCCCACCCCCGGCCTGCGGTGTGGCCACCGGCCCAGCTGGCAGGAAAGCAGCGGAACCACCAGAGGCGCCCAGCTGGCCTGCATCCAGCAGCCTGTGTCCTCGGGTCAGCTGTGCAAATACCCGTTTCCTTCTCGTTTTGCTCTGGACTAACACAAAGATCCTAACTGGCACAGTTACAGTGAAGCGCACAGACAGGAGCTGTCTGCACTGATGTGACCCTAACACTGTAGCTGCAACACTATACACAGCACACGAACAGAGGCACAGTATTTAATACAGAAACTCACAGTGAGCCTTAAAACGGCTCTCACGTCCACAATAAACAAATACAAACTGAAAATGTGTTTTACCTGATATATAAAACCACTCATCCTAGGACTGGCAGACAACATCAGCAAAATATTTGGAAAGAGTAGAAGATATCTCTCATTCTTTTCCTAATGTAAAAGAACAAATTCAAATAAGTGTATTAAAAACATATATTTACAATGGTGAGAACAAATATTTACATTAGGCCTTATGAAATAAGGTATCACACTTCATGCTTAGGTGTTTCTTTCTACCAAATTAGATTAAATGGAAACAAAATCATGACAAATTTGTAAGACTCACAAGTAGCCCATGGAACATCTTTTTTAAAAATCTGAGTTTAGGTCTGCCATTAACTCATTAGGCAGGAGTTAGAAAAACAAATTTTTTTCTGTGGTTGAGAGAAAATGAAGCAAAGAACTTGTGAACTTTTAGTGGCAGTGGAGACCAGGTGGAACCTTCAGGCTGAAGGCAAGGAGGATAAAGCAGGGAGATGCCTCTGGCCCACTGACAGATCCTGGCACGTCCACTGTTGCCATCCCCCAATGAGCTCTGCCCAATTTACATGAAAGGCCGACGAGCACTGTTTATATATTAAATCTCATTTGATGCAATCGGTAAGAGAAGCCCCAGAAAGACCCTAAGTGAAGCACAAAGATGCCCAAGAATCTAAAAGGAGACTCAAGAGAAACATCGCCCACAGCAGTGAAGGAACTCGGGGAGGCGGTGTCCCCGGCAGGGGAAGCCAGCCAGGCGCAGGGGCCTTGGAGGAGGCTCCCCCAGTGAGAGAAACGCAGGGAACGCTGAAGGCAGTACCTCGCTGCCGGCACACTGGATCAGGACCTGGGACATGTAGACGACGCTGCCCAGGGTCTTGATGTCGTCGCCCTCCCAGTTGCGGATGGCCTCCGTCAGGATCTGCAGCTCCAGCTCCTTCCTCTTCCGCACCTCCTGACACTGCGCCTGGGGGCACAGGAGGCGCGTCAGGGGAGACGGGCTCCCAGACCGAGCTCCGGGCTCTCCTGCTCCGGCCCAACCTCTTCTTCAGACAGACCAGCCAGTGAGCAACGCACTTACTTCACCAGTACGGAATCAAGTCAAGAGAGACCCACAACAACCAAGAGCGCTAGAATGAGAAACACTAGTTCAGAAAAATACAGCAAATCCTGTCGTTTTTAGAAGACGAAATGTGGACTGGACAAGAAAAAAACATTCTCTGATGTTACTAGTGAGTGCCAAAAAAGACCTAGAAGCAGGAACAAAGGTGAGCTCCGCTTGTGCGGTAAACAAGACACACACTCCAGAGACAGTCATCAAGACAGCTTGACAGCAGGTGAGAAGGAAGCCCAGCACTCCATCTCATGCATCACTAGAGACACTGGGACGAGGCTAAAAACATGTTCCAAACCGTTTACGTGCACTACAGCATCATGTGGTACCATGTAAAAGTGACAGCATGGATCCTTCCATTTCTCTGCTGTCCACAGTGCCATAAAGCATGAAAGTTTACCAGCCGTGGAACAACTATGTTATTTACTTTTTATTTCTCGAGAATAAATCCAAATCATAGTTCACAGCTTAGTTCCTGCATTCATTTGCCATAATAATGCCTGATGGAAAAAAAACCATAACACACTCCATCACTTACTGAAAGGTTTTTGAAGGCGGTCATGGATTTCTGAATATCTTGTCTGTCTGGGTGATAATCCTTTGAATAAAAGAAACACACTGTGAGCTTTCATAATGAAAAGTTTGTTCTTCGAAAGGCTCTCTCTGGAGACTGGCTTGAACCTGCCCTGCAGTCTCAGCCTGTAATCTGTCCCTTTGTCTCCGCACTAAAGGGCCTCTGCTTAGTCTCTGAGGGGGTCACGAAGCGTCGGACAGTCTTCTGGACTCTGCGCTAGAGGAGGAGGCCAGCCCACAGCCTCACCCACCCCCACCCGCCCTGATGCTCGGGCCCCAGGGGCAGAGGGGAGCAGGCGAGCAGCAGACTGCCTGCCCTCTGGGGAAGGGCTCACCACACCCTACCCAAGCCAGCAGCCTGAAGCCCAACTTCTGCCGGGCCCAAGCCTGTGTTCTGAAAATGAGATAAGTACACATCGTTGGCTGATTCTTTTCCTATTACCTCTCCATAACTTACACACTTAACACTGTACGCACATGTTCCTCGTGGAAAACACCACGAGTTTTCCAGGTACTGGAAATATCCCCGCTAGCAGCGGTTGGAGCAGACGCTGCTCTACACAGCTGGGATACGGGGAAACAACTTCAGAACCAACGAACTCCCCGCGACACTCTCCCAAGTCACAGGCTGGTGGGGAAGCCCTCTCCGGGTCTGGCTTCTCACTGCTGCTCCGGCATGGCCAGCGGGGCAGACGTACCTCCATGTGCCTCTCCAGCTCCTTGAGCAGCGCGGGGTACTTGTCCAGGCGCATGAACGGCTTGCTGAGGCCGGTGGTCAGCACGAGAATCCCTGGGCTGCTGGCGCCCTTCAGCTCCATGAACTCTCCCAGCTCCTCACTGAGTGTGCGTGGAGAGAGCAGAGGCCACCGTCAGAGCCCAGGAGGGCCGCGCGCCTGCCCCCAGCCCCCAGATGGCGACGCGGCGTCCACGGCCACTCAGAGGCCACAGGCTTTACAGCCTCGTGTGCTGCTTACTTCTGAACACCAAAGGGAAGCCCCCCCAACAGCTCACGTCAGGGCCCTCAGCCTGAGCAAAGCCATGTGTGTGTACCGCCATGGCTTCCCAGCCAAGCATTCAGGAAAGCCCTGCTCAGCGAGCCACCTGCATACACAGAGGCCTGAATGTGCACGGTCCTTGCAGGGCAAGCACAGAGCCCCATGAGCAGGTCCTTCCAGACGGTAAAACCTGCAAGGAGACGCGTCACGACGACAACCACCTGACTCTCGGTGCTGAGCCGCCAGGCCCCGCAGTCCCCCAACAGCAGCGCCACTGTCCCTGACAAGCACGCAGGCGCTGAACCTCCAAAAGCACTTTCACATCACCGTTTCACTTCACCCTCAAACCCGTGGGAGAAAGAAAGCTGTTTGCATTTGCAGATGAGGAGCCCGAGCGCGCATTCAGAAACGAACAAGCTGCAGAGCAAGCCTCTCCTGTTCGGTCCTCCACCCCTACCCTGCATCACCAGCCCAGGGAGCGCCTTCCCGGACCGCGGCCTCGTGCCCAGGTCCGCCCTGGCCCCGGTTCACGGGAGCACCCAGGAGGACCAGCGGGGGGCCCAGCTCCGTCACCCACACATCTGTGGCTCACGTCTGTGACGGACACTCTGCATTCCTCTCCCTGCACCACGGGGCAGATGACACCTGGGGCCCCCGGGAAGACCGCAGTCTGTGGCCCGCACTGCTGCCGAGCAGAGTCCCTCCAGACATGGAGCAGAGGACGCCTGGGCTGCGGGCGGGCGGAGAGGCTGCAGCGCCTCAGGGCCGCCACGTCTCCCACCGGGAGGAGCACGATAAACGAGGTCACAAAGTGAACGCGAAACCCTGAAGCCCGGCCCACGGGTGCGGCCACCTGGGGCCGCCTCACGCCACCCCCCCCAATGGCACTAAGAGTGAAGTTTGGCTCCTTTAAATACGATCCAACTGGGGCCTTTTCTCCCACAAGAAAAATAACAAAAAAAGTCTCTGTGGGTCATTCTTGATATTTTAGTATTATATGAAACTTCATAACTATAGTTATGGCAGACAATAATTAATAAAACTAAGCAGATTATTCTTATCACCCATCCACCTACTCCCAAAATTCCCTACAACTAAAAATTTACGTGTAATTTCTGCAAGCAAAAGTAACTTCTTTTAATATCCATATGACAGTCATAAAATGCCAGACATGTACACAATTAAGAAATGAAACAAAACCTTTTATAAATCTTTACAGATCACTGTATGGGCTTCCCAGGAGACGCTAGTGGTAAAGAACCCCCCTGCCAATGCAGGAGACATAACAGACTCAGGTTGGATCCTTGAGTTGGGAAGACCCCCTCAAAGAGGGCATGGCAACCCACTCCAGAATTCTTGCCTGGAGAATCCCATGGACAGAGGAGCCTGGTGGGCTACAGTCCACAGGGTCCGCAAAGAGACACGACTGAAGCAACTTAGCATACATTTGTTTCATTTTTTAGTTTTAAAAAATTTAGTACCATAATAAAACAAAACAGCAGGCTATAGCTTTTCTGACTAAACAAAGACCCTTTGTGCTTAATTTCTACTGATGCTAGCAACGCTCACACCATGTGTATCCTCTGTAATTACTCACACAGCACCGCGGGCTGCATGACAGTGGCCAGAGGAGCAGAGGCAACCTCAGGTCAGCGCAGCAAAAAGCAGCAGCTCCTGAGCTGGAGAGAAGGAGACGTTCTACACACGAAACCAGGAGCCTAAGCCACTCGCGACAGGCAGCCACCAGCCTGTGACGCCGACCAGCAAACGGTGATGCAAAAGGCAGGTATCCGTTATAATCCAACAGGACCGGAGGCTCCACACATACATTTTGCAGATTCACACTCAAAATTCAAACTAACACAACGTAAGGATCATAAAACTAAAAATAAGACTTAAAAACTGCAAAACACTATGTTTAAATCAATCCCTAAGAAAGTATATTCAAGCAGAAAAACAGACTGATCCAGCCCTAAGTGGTAGTTTCACAACCTCAGCAAGAGCAGGACAGAGGCCACAAGTAGGGCCCAGGACAGAAGGGAAAGGGAGGGAGGGCCGGCGGAGGCCAGGTCTGGGCGGCGGGCGGGGGCGCCGCCGCCCGGGGGCCTCAGGAGGGCGCGTGGGCAGCGCATCCTGCCGGCCGCCTCGCTCGCCCGAGCTCGGCACACTCCCAGGGCCTGGCCGTCCTGCCTCCCGCCCGGGACACGCCACATGAAGGCAGGCAGGGGGTCCATAAACAGAGCCCCATCTGGACTCCCTCCTGCTCTTCTGGGAAAAGCTGCCCTGAGGTTCCAGCCACGACACAAGCAGTCGCTGAAGTAATACAGAGGGGAACACAGCACATGCTCACAAGCATTGCCGGCGAACATCTGAATGGTTTTAAATGTCACCTTCAGGACACAGCTTCACCCCCAGGGGGCTGACCCCTGACCAAAACGGCAGAAGGAGAGCACACATTTAAAATGCCCCTGTAATTTTCCCTAGCGTTCTACCTGCTGTTCATCTCTCCCAGGGCTGCGTCAACAATTCCTGCGGAATTTTCAGAAACTTCACATTTCAACCCGTGCATTTCACTCGGGAGGAAACTCATCTAAGTCATCGTTCCTGGGAGGAGATGCCGGGCCAGGTCACCGCATCCATGCTTCCCGGCTTTCCTGGGAAGGTGCGTGCACGGCAGCCCGCCCGCCCCGGAGCATGCAGATGACCAGCCCGCCTCTCATTCCTGCGGTCCCCGGGCACCCTCACCGCCCTTCTTTCCCATCCCTGTGTCAGAGATGACTGGCCTCACTCAGGAACGGAGCTGCATCAACACAAGTGGAGGTTCAGAATCCAGGCACACTGAACAGTCAACACCCGGAGTCGGGGGCAGCAACCGACGTGAAAATCAGACAACAGAGCAATCAGCATTTACTGAGAGTTCATCACGTCCACGCAGTGCTGGCCAGCTCAGGGGTTCCGCTTCCCGCCGACAGAACTCTATAGCCAGGCACTTCCGGAGAAGCGCGGTGACCTCCGAGGCCCACCAGCTGCAGAGCGGTGGCTAGGGCTCAGAGCAGGCCACAGGCCCTGCCCAAGGTCCACATGACCCGGCCACAGTCGGACGGACACAGGCCGCCTCGCTGGAGCCTCAGTTTAGAAACAGCCCAACAATGCCTGCATCCCAGCACAGCCTCTAAGCTTCAAACTGAAATATTAAGTTAGGAGTAACTTGAGGTTAAATATTTAAATCAGGAGCACAGGCATTTACCTTGCTCCAACTCACACAATGTCTTCATTTCTGGCTGAACTGCTGTTTTCAGAAGAAACCATTAAGTTTCTGAACCCCTAACACAGACGCGCGCCCCTCGGAGCAGAAGCAGAGCTCGGCGGCCACCCTGTGCGCAGGTCAAGCCCCGCAGTCCTCCCTGCTGCCCAGGAACGCCGGCCGTGCCTGATCAGACACGCAGAGGGCAGCCTGCTGCTGCTTTCAGCTGCAGAGCAGACACGCACAGCCTCTGGCTCGGCGTGCCCCACAGAAACGGATGCCACCTCCTGCAGCAAGGCCAGTGCTGTCCCAGGTGCCCCAGTCCCACGCATTGGGCGGATGCGGCTCCGGCAGCCGACCAGCCTGCGGCCACCCTCCTGAGCCCCCACCAGCCCCCCTGACCTCCGGCCAAAGGGTCCAGGCTGAAGGGGAGACTTCAAAACACGCCCGTTTCTATTATAAGCACTAATTAGGATTTTAAAGCCTGACATCAGTCCTCCCCAGGCACTCACTTGGAGGATAATAAAACTTACCAGTCTTGAATAAACACATGGGTGCTTGCACCGCGTTTCAAGTAATAACTGACAGAAACGAGCTGCCCAGAGGGAACCCCAGACACGGCCGCCCGCACCCCCACCCCGGGAAGAAGCCCACGAGACGCACCTGTGTTCCGTGAGGACGCTGACCGCAGACGGGTGGTTGGCACAGTACGCCAGGTACAGGGTCTTCATCTGTGGCATCAGGCTAAGGAAGCAGCCCCCAACCCTCTGCTGGGCCTCCGGCATCCTGCGGACAGCGACACAGAGCCCCACTTAGGGAGCGCCTCCCAGAGCGGGCCCCAGCCCATGGGGCAGCCCTGGATGGTGCGCCCAGCCCCCAGGGGAGCCGCTCAGCGGAAAGCAGGCCATCCCCTCCTCCAGTGTCCAGACGCCAGGACCTGCAGGTCAGCCCGTTCCTTGGACAGTGAGCAAAACCGATGTCCAGGAGCGTTATGTAGCATGTAAGTAAGGAGGAACAGGATGTGTGGTTACTTGGTCGTAGGTTTCCTGCTGAAGTAGCTGCAAGACAGGCGCATGAGAAGCCCCACAGCGGCTCCCGGGTGGAGGCTGCCCCGTCGGTGGGGGGAGAGACAAGCGGCCCGCAGAGCAGGGCGGCCACCCCGCCAGGTGAGGGAGACAGTCCCAGGCGTCGGGGGCCAACAGCCCTCCCAGGCCGCGGGGGCCACAGGAGCCAACAGCCGGCCCCTGAGCAGGCCGAGTGTGCACGAGGCCAGCGCTCGGCTCATTCACTGGGATCTGAGGTCAAAGCAAACGGGCGCCCACACTGCTGGCAGTGCTGGCAGTGTGAACCCACAAGTGGGTTTTAACAGCCTTCAGGGATTAGTCACAGTTTCCTGTATCTGCAGGATAAACAGTCACTGACTCAATAAATTAACTTCAACCATTCAATTAGGCACTGGGAACACATTAAAAACAGAGAAAGAGTGAGTCTTTACCTTAAGGGTGACTGCAATCTATGGGGGGACACAAAACCAGTTCAAAACTAAGCTGAGTATAACAGAGACAGAGCCGATGCCTCAATCACAGAGCCACTCACTGCAGGCACCCCCAGAAGAGGACAACATGCAGTCCGGGAGGGGGAGAGGGCACCCCAGAGAGGATAGGGTGCCCCAGAGAGGGAGCAGCGCCCCCCAGTCACCAGGGAGCAGGCATCACATGCTGCCAAGGGCACCCTCCCCAAAGGCACTAGACCACCTGCTTCCTACCAGGACCCGGACACCCAAGACACACCTGCTCCAAGACCACGACACACGGACATCTCAGCAGGCGACGGTCACGCTCGGATGCAAGAAAGCAGGCAGAGGCTGCCTTTTCCAGCGAGAGACCTGCAGGGAACCCCGACTGCCTGGCTAAGGGGACTGAAGGAGACAGCAGTGACGGGCCGTCACGCTTTGGCCGAGAAGAGAAAATCAGTGCCGGAGACGGGGCACGGGCAGCCTGCAGACAAGATGACGGGGCTGCACGCCCTGCTCAGCGCCGGGCCAGGAGCTGCTGGGACGGCCTCACCCACCTGGGCCAGACCACAGCCCAACGCGCTCAGAGGAGAACATACTGAAATCTAGGTCAAGGGGCTGTGATCTGTTAACATGTCCGTGGATTACATGCGGACAACGCCTTCAGTTGAGTAAGACCTTCCTTCTCTCTTCCCATCATGCTTGGCTCTAGAGGCTTACTACCCCTCTCAACCCAATGCTGCAAGAAGTCACTGCACTCGCCACCATTAGCTCATGAATCCTTTCACAGTCCATCCACTCGCCAACCTGCAGGAGCAGCCGGAGCTCATAGAGGTCGCATGCAAGTCTTAACTGGAGCCCAGGTATTATGCCAACACACCACACACGCCAACAGCATGTAGATCACCGAAATGATGGAACACGCAACACTCACAAAGACCATCCAGGCAGAACACGACTTAAGAATTGAGAGAGAGGATTTTCACCGTGGTTCTCTCTCGTGCTTCCAGAGGCGGTTTGAGAACATGAAGGCGTGTGGCAGAGCATGCATGGGCTGTCGCCGCATCCTCCTGCAGCCTCCTGGTGGCCCCACACCAAGTTGCGACAATTAGTGCAGGGTCAGCAGGGCCTGCTACTATGGTTCCATCATTGATCTGATGATAGGAGGGGGTGGTCTGATAAGAGGTGTCATCAACCAAGGACCTGCTAACAGCAAAGAGTTATCAGAATGGTCAGATACCAAGTGAGGAGTTATCAAAGGTCTGGTAACAGGTGAAAGAAGCAGGTAAACCACTAGACCATTCAGGTATGACCTAAATCAAATCCCTTACGAATATACAGTGGAAGTGACAAGCAGATTCAAGGGATTAGATCTGATAGACAGAGTGCCTGATGAACTATGGACGGAGGGAGGTTCATGACATTGTACAGGAGGCAGGGATCAAAACCATGCCCAAGAAAAAGAAATGCAAAAAAACAAAATGGCTACCTGAGGAGGCCTTACAAATAGCTGAGAAAAGAAGGGAAGCGAAAGGCAAAGGAGAAAAGGAAACATATACCTATTTGAATGCAGAGTTCCAAAGAATGGCAAGGAGAGATAAGAAAGCCTTCCTCAGTGATCAATGCAAAGAAATAGAGGAAAACAATACAATGGGAAAGACTAGAGATCTCTTTAAGAAAATTAGAGATACCAAGGGAACATTTCATGCAAAGATGGGCACAACAAAGGACAGAAACGGTATGAACCTAACAGAAGCAGAAAATGTTAAGAAGAGGTGGCAAGAATACACAGAAAAAAAGATCTTCATGACCCATATAACCATGATGGTGGGATCACTCACCTAGAGCCAGACATCCTAGAATGCAAAGTCAAGTGGGCTTTAGAAAGCATCACTAGTGGAAGTGATGGAATTCCAGTTGAGCTATTTCAAATCCTAAAAGATGATGCTTTGAAAGTTCTGCACTCAATTGCCAGCAAATTTGGAAAACTCAGCAGTGGCCACAAGACTGGAAAAGACCAATTTTCATTTCAATCCCAAAGAAAGGCAATGCCAAAGAATGGTCAAACAATGGCACAATTGCACTCATCTCATACACTAGCAAAGTAATACTCAAAATTCTCCAAGCAAGGCTTCAACAGTATGTGAACTGAGAACTTCCAGATATTCAAGCTGGTTTTAGAAAAGGCAGAGGAACCAGAGATCAAATTGCCAATATCTGCTAGATCACTGAAAAAAGAGAGTTCCAGAAAAACATCCACTTCTGCTTTATTGACTATGCCAAAGCCCTTGACTGTGTGGATCACAACAAACTGTGGAAAATTCTTCAAGAGATGGGAATACCAAACCACCTGACCTGCCTCCTAAGAAATGTTCTGCAGGTCAAGAAGCAACAATTAGAACTGGACATGGAACAACAGACTGGTTCCAAATCAGGAAAGGAGTACGTCAAGGCTGTATATTGTTGCCCTGCTTATTTAACTTATATGCAGAGTACATCATGAGAAACACTGGGCTAGAAGAAGCACAAGTTAGAATCAAGACTGCCAGGAGAAATATCAATAACCTCAGATACGCAGATCTGGCAGAAAGTGAAGAACTAAAGAGACTCTTGATGAAAGTGAAAGAGGAGAGTGAAAAAGTTGGCTTAAAACTCAACATTCAGAAAACTAAGATCATGGCATCCGGTCCCATCATTTCATGGCAAATAGACGGGGAAACAGTGGAAACAGTGAGAGACTTCATTTTCCTAGGCTCCAAAATCACTGCAGATGGTGACCAGAGCCATGAAATTCAAAGACACTTGCTCCCTGGAAGAAAAGCCATGACCAACCTAGACAGCATATTAAAAAGCAGAGACATTACTTTGCCAACAAAGGTCCATCTAGACAAAGCTATGACTTCCAGTAGTCATGTATGGATGTGAGAGTTAGACCATAGAGAAAGCTGAGTACTGAAGAATTGATGCTTTTGAACTGTGGTGTTGGAGAAGACTGTTGAGAGTCACTTGGACTGCAAGGAGATCCAACCAGTCCATCCTAAAGGAAATCAGTCCTGAATATTCATTGGAAGGACTGATGCTGAAGCTGAAACTCCAATACTTTGGCCACCTGATGCGAAAAACTGACTCTTTGGAAAAGACCCTGATGCTGGGAAAAACTGAAGGCAGGAGGAGAAGGGAATGACAGAGGATGACACGGTTGGATGGCATCACCGACTTGATGGACATGAGTTTGAACAAGCTCTGGGAGTTGGTGATGGACAGGGAAGCCTGGTGTGCTGCAGTCCATGGGATTGCAGAGTCAGACATGACTGAGTGAACTGAACAGGTGAAGAGTTATCAATGGTCTGATACAGGAGAGTTACAAAAGGTCAGGTAACAGGTGAGGCATTATCCATGGTCAGATACAGGTGAGTTATCGGTGGTCTGAAACAGGTGAGTTATCGATAGTCTGATACACGTGAGTTATCTGTGGTCTGATACAGGTGAGTTACTGGTGGTCTGACACAGGTGAGTTGTTGGTGGCCTAATAACAGGCAGTGATGCAGGCAGTGCACTGCCATTTCTCCAGGGGGAACACTGCTACAGGGCAGGCGAGGACCCCCAGGGGCCCTTCTCCCCCGGAGCAGAGCGGGATGAGCTCCAGGAGAAGCCTGAGAACACAGAGCTGCCGCACAACACCCCTGCATGGCACGCTTGTGCCTGATGGTGCTGCTAACTGCACAGAGAAAGGGCTCAGGGTCCAGCAGCCACTGACTTCCCAGGGAGACCGAGAGCAGCACGAGGGTGTGGCCATGACCCGAGTGAGCGCTGCGCCCCCCGCCCCCGGGTCTGCCCACTGCCTGCTAAGTGACCAGCTTCAGCAGCAGCCCCCCAGGAGGCTCACGAGGGTGTGGCCGTGGCCCGAGTGAGCGCTGCGCCCCCCGCCCCCGCGTCTGCCCACTGCCTGCTAAGTGACCAGCTTCAGCAGCAGCCCCCCAGGAGGCTCACGAGGGTGTGGCCGTGACCCGAGTGAGCCCTGCGCCCCCCGCCCCCGTGTCTGCCCACTGCCTGCTAAGTGACCAGCTTCAGCAGCAGCCCCCCAGGAGGCGCACGAGGGTGTGGCCGTGGCCCGAGTGAGCGCTGCGCCCCCCGCGAGGCGTGCGCAAGCAGGGACACAGGTGGCCCCGCACTGGGGCTCAGGGAGCTGGCAGCCCCTGGCAGCCCCTCCTGCTGGGCCCCAAACCCCGAACCTGGACAACTTCCTCAAGGATGCCAGAGGCCCAGCAAGGCGGCAGCACCTGAGGCTCCCCCGAGGAGCCCCCATCACCAGCCAGCAGCTCCAGCCCCCGCCGCAAGCCATCCTCTCACAGCCCCATGTGCCGCTGGAGGGCCTTCCCTTCCCAACTTGCGAGACGCACGAGGCTCCAGAGCTGGAAGCGTTCCCACGGGACCGTGCGGTCTCGCTCAGCAGGTCCGGAGGTCACGGCAAGAGGCACTCAGGGCCCCCCGGGTGCCACGCGGCGGGCCAATTCTGACGTGAAGCCCACTGGACCGAGACCCCCCTGGGGTCGGAGGTGACGGCCGTGATCACCTGGGCCGGTGCACCACCAATCCCAATCACCTCCTCATCAGCTCAAGTCCTGTGCCCTGCTCTTTAGTAGGGACGGCCCAGCAGAACCAGAAGGGTGCTGTGCGTCTCTGGATCCCCCATGCTTCTATTAATTGGATGGTTCAAAACACAGCTTTCAGACAAAATACACTCTACTCTCTAATTCAAATTTGTATTTTGATAATAATCTAAAACAAATACTATTTTACTGTGAAAATGTTACAGTAGCGGTCCAGTGTCTACAAAGATGAATTTATTTATATCTTAAGACACGCCTTATAACTAACTTTAAACTAAATACACAATGTTTATTTAACCAGTAGCAATTATGTCAAATGTTTATTTCAGTATTTTCTTCAATAAACTGAAGCCCTACAAAATGTAAGACAACTAACGGGAACTCAGCCTACAATACACGGAGGAGTCTGCAACCTAAGAAAGTACAAGCAAGCACGACACATGTGACAGCGCCAGGAAAAGGGGGGCTGTGACAGGACTGCCCACACCCCTGGGTCAGAGGGACCGGTGGGACCACTGCACGAGCAGCAGCAGGAGGCGGCCCGAGAGGAGGGGAGGGCAGGGAGGGCAGGCACACACTGCCTCCCGGGCCCGCCCCGACAGAGCGGGCCTGCCAACGGAGCCGAGGCCTGTGCAGCACAGCAGGCGGGAGCCGGGAGCGGGCAGGGCTCCCACAGACGGCCACCCTGCGGGGACCGACCTCCTACCTCAGCTCCCCAGCACCCTCAGGCCGCTCCTGTGGCCCTCGAGGCCAGTCTGTGAGACACAGCTGGGAACAAGCCCAGGAATAACCAGGCACCCCCCAGCTTCTGAGCAGAGCTCAGGCCAGACGCTGCTGGGGAGATGGACAGGCAGAGGGCCACCCAGAGGTCAGGGCCTCATCAGGAGGTCTGTGCGGGACACAGGAAGAGAGGCCGGCCTGAGTCAGGGTGGCGTCAGCGCAAGGGCAGGGCAGTGGCTGCCACAGGAACGAGCATTCTTCCAGGATAGAAGAATGTGTGGGCAAGTGCACCAGGTTAAGGGTGCTGGGCACAGAGTGACCCGCAAGGGCGGGGGACAGGAGAACGAGTGAACAAGTGGATGAGTGGATGATTGACCATACAGTAAGTGATGGAGAGGCTGTGTCCCCCACGAGCGGGGCCGGCTCAAGTGGCCGCCGCGGCCTCTGCCTGCCTACTCCTGTCACTGCAGTGCTTGGCCGACCTCCCCTGAAACCCAACTTCAGCTTTCCTCACAGTGTTTCCACACTACCCTCTGTAATTACTTCTACCGTCTTAACCAGCTGTCTCCCTCCCCAGACTACCAGCTCCTCTAGGACAGGGGTCACTTCTGTCTCGTTAACACGCGTCTGGCACACGCTGGGTGCTGCGTAAGCAAGCAGAGGATGAATGAGAAAGGACCCGGGGCAAGCTGGCCGTGCATCCAGCCCTGATGTACCTGAAACCCATGTGAGAAAAACCAACGCGGACGAAGCAGAGAGATGCGTGCTTGTGAGCAGCATGCTGTGCTCCCCTGACCTTGGCAGGGGTCTGGCACCAAGCTGCAGTGCTCCCTTCCACGCTCCCTCCCTTCTGCAGCCGCCACCCCAAAGAACCACTTCTCACAGGAAACCTCTCTCCTTGCTCTGAGCAGGCAGTAGATCCCACCGAGGAAGAGTCTAAAACACACTTTCACTGTAAAAGTTGACATACCCCAAATATTTAAAATAACCCAGTATCCACCTTTAGAAATGTGAAATCTAAAAGTTAAGTTAATCCTGACCCTTCAAATACCAGTTGTATCCATCTGAATTTTACAATTATTAGCCTCTTACTTACTTGGTGCATTCTTCTAAAGACTGTACAAGCATTTGCTGGAAAGAACATATTTCTTCCAGATTTCCCATTAAATGTGACGTGTTTGCTGAACTTAACCTAGAGCCGAGAAAAACAGGAGACACGTGAGAGCGGTCTTACTCATGCTCCCCTCCCCTCCCGCCCCACGGCCTAACACACAAGGAGCTCTCTTGTGTCTTCAGTTGCATTCTGTCCCAGCCTTTCAGCTGCTGTTCTCTGAAAACACGAGGCAATAGCCAAGGGGACCACTGTTCCAACACTTGACACAATAACCATCTAACTTACTTCTCGCTGGTCTGCAGGGGCCGTAAGTAGGTTGAAAGCACAGTCTGAAGTTCTTTAGAATATTCATTTTCTGTTTCCAAAATATTCTGTAGCACCTACAATAAATGGTAAGTATTATTTGACATTAAGATGTATAAGCTTTGGAAAGGTCATCACTACTGTTCAATTCACACGGTTGCTTCTGTGTAACACTGATTTGTTTAATGTTATCACTCCCTGTGATTATTAACTAGTAAATTCAGGTAATGAGTTATTATCGAGGCTATCTAACTGACTTCATATTCCTGCCAAGCACATTTAACACGGGAACACCTAGAAAGAGGCCTGAATGAATTCCATCATCAGATGCTATGTCTGTTTAGATGCTACGTGTTTTTTAGATGGAAAGAAGGAACCACTGACAATCACAACAGCATGGAGGCATGGATGCATCTCCAAAGCACGCATTGTGCAAGAGAAGCCTTTCACACAAGGACATCCTATATACCCATCTATGGTAAATCTAAGGACAGGCCAAACTCATCTGTGAGGGCAGGGATGGGTGGGGGGTAGGGGGACAACGGGGAAAGGGACGTGAGATCAATTTCTGGAATAAAGGACAAGTTCCGCATCATGATTTGGGTAGTTGTTACACAGACATATACACCGGTTAAAGCTCCCTGACCTGTACCCTTAAAATCTATGCACTGTGACATATGGAAAGTGCATCCACTAGAAAAAAAAACATGCAGTTCAGCCTTCAGATGGCATCTAGTCATTCTAAGTCAATTTCTGGGCACTGCAGACCTTCACCAGAGAAGGTGACTGTCTAAGATCATCCTGTACACGTTACAAATAAAAGGTCCACCAGCATAAAACAAGCATTGTATGCACTGTATGTATTCTCCTATCTCTGGGAGAATAATTATAAATCAACCTTGAAATTAACATGTTTCCTGAAAGCCTGCAATATATATAGACAAAAGCAGCTAACAACCCCTAAAAACCAAGAAAGAAATCTAAGTGTAAAAGAGCTGGCTGAAACATGAGCCCCTTTCAGACGCAATTGCAGGAGCACTGGCCCCTGGGGCAGGGCTAGGCGGGGCAGCTCAGGTCTGCAGGGGAAGCCTGACCGATGGGAGCCTGGACGGCTGAGTGAGTGCCCGACCCACAGCACCTCCGATCCGCAGGCAAGCCCCCTCTACAGAGGATGGATGAAGTGGGGAGAGGTGGATCTGCGCCCAACCCGCACCCCCTCTCCAGCCTCGGGCTCAGGGCTGCGTGGGAGCAAGGAGCCCTCCTCAGCCGTCTGCTCCACCGCACTGTCAGGGCCAGCACCTTCTCCAGTCGCCAAGTCACACCACGTGCATTTTCTGAGGGGCTACTACTCCCTGCACTGAGCACTGTCTCCCAAACTAACACAACATCCTAAACCAACCCTGCAGAAGAAATTAGACAGAATAAACACTCCAAACATGCTCAGCTTTCTCCCCTGATTTTCGATAACCAAAAGGTATGTTTAAACCTTGAAGAAAGAAGCAATCATTAGCTAAACTGAGATTCCAGCACTGACACAGGCCACCCGACCACTGTGCGCTCACTGGGGTCTTCCTCGCTCCGGAGCGCAGCAGAGCCATTCGGGGGTGGCAGGGCCGAGGCGGCACGGCGCGCTACGCGGGGCCCAGGCGCTGCCGCAGCTCTGGCTCTGCTCCGTCCCGCCCCTGAATGGGCCTATTCACGGATGCCAGCGGGCGGGGAGGGGCCACTGTGGGCGACGCTGCCTCGTGGGGAGACGTGGCTGCCGCTCTCAGTTAGGCACCTCCCACCAAGAGACACTCAGTGGGCCCGAGTGTCAGAGGACTGGAGGACGGGGGCACCATGTGACCCTGCCTCTGCGTCACCAGGGGATGCGCTTCGTCCACGTTATCCCCATCTTCTCCTTACATAATGACTCGAGGCGAACCAAGTACCATGGCTGGGTCCCTGAACTAAAAAAAATTAAATCTGTCACAGATGAGTAACACAAAAAGCCCCAATGTTAACGTGAAAACAAAGGCTCAACTCAGACCCCATGTCTAAGAACACACACCAGGAGCTATCAGCAACTCTGCCAAGAACACGCTTGGAACCCGACACACACACTCTGCAAACACAGACAGGTCCCACGGACAGCGGCGTTGGGAGCGCAAGCGCGAAGCAGTCTATGGCCCTCCTCAGCCGCGGCACCACGGGGTGAGCAGACACGGAGCACCCTGAGGGCGCACCGGGACCCACGCAGGGTGCGCTGCCCGCCGCCTCTCCTGCGTCTACTGGCTGCAAACACGACCTTCAGTTAAGTGCTCAAGACGGGCTCTAGAGCAACCCCGCCCAAACCACCCAGGCCGTGCGCCCTGACTTCTGCAGACTCGAGGAGGGAGCCACGCGGCGCGGGCGTCCGCCACACAGAGGCTGCCGGCCCCGCCCCAAGCTCACAGCACGCCGGGGGCTCCAGCCACCACCTGCCTCCCCTTCCCGGACTGCTGCACGCTCCGGCTGCTGCAGGACCCCATGGGACGTCACGGCCCAGCCGCCACGGCTGCATCGCACGCAGGCGGGTCCAGAGAGGGCCGGGAAGAGCAGCCGTCACTAGGCACCACGAGGAGGGTGGGCCAAGAGCCCAGCCGCCAGAGCTCCCCCCAGGGCAGGAGGCGTGGGGCGGCCCGGCCAACAATGGTGCCCACAGGGGGACCACATTGGGCAGCTCACAGACCATCCCCAGCTGTCAGCCCCAGCAGCAGAGCCAAACAAAAGACCGACTCATGCCCTGCATCCCACAGAAGCCACTTCATCGCTGCCAGGAAAGGAGCGCCGAGCGCCACTCTCCTTACAAGGGAGTCACAGCCGCCACTGCAAATTCCGAGGGCGTCCTATGTTCCAGGTGTCCTTGACAGTCCTCTGAAAATAAATAACTGATGTACATGTAACATAAAGGAAACTTTTCAAGATCTGACCCGGACACAGTAAAGTAATACCATCACAAACTACACCCAGGGATTTCCCTGGTGGCCCAGTGGCTAAGACCCTGTGCTCCCAACGCAGGGGGCCTGAATTCGATCCCCGGTTGAACTCAAGACTGGCAGAGCTGTTCTCACCCCTCTCTGCCCACCTAACTATAACCCCCACACCACAAGGAGAAATCACGATTGCACATATTCTTCCAGCCCACTCTATTTAAACTGTTAGTACTTCAAGTTTCAAAAAGCAGATTACTAGACAGGACCCCAGCTGTTAATGAACTAGAGCCTGGAGGGAGAGGAGAGAAGAAGGGCAGCAGTGCTGCTGGAGGAAGCCATTCCTGCAGCCCTCCCGCTCCCAGAGCAGAGGCCTCGGGCACACCCTGGCCACCACTGACCAAGTGTGGCGTCCTGATTTCGGTATCCTCAATACTTCATGACGTCAAGTCTCAAGAAGAGTCGGGGGGGCGGATGTTAAATGCTTGTATTACTGTGCCATTTAAAAGGGGCTACGTGCTTCCAGTATTCCTAAATCTGGGGACTCACAAGGCTGAGGGATGCTGAAGATTTACTGCACAAGAGCTCCAGCAGGAGCCGTGGGCCCACTGTGCTCGGCGTCACCCCAGAGCCAGCCTCAGGGCCAGCAGAGCCCGGCCTGATCCCAGCCCTGCGTGTCCTCCCTGGACGGCACACCTCTGCGGGTCTCGAGGCAGGAAGGACCCTCACAGACACCCCGCCTGGCCGTCCCCACATGGCACAGCTCGCTCTCCCTCCACTCACAGGCCCGGCACTGGCCACCACCCGAAAAGCTTCACCTCGGTCTTCATCCGCAGGAAGCGAGGACCCTGCCAGGAGCCGCGGGAACAGAGCCTGCCCAGGCCACAGGCGGTCAGTGTGAGTGAGGCCCAGGAGAGGAGGGCAGGGGCCGCGGGCGGTCAGCATGGACGAGGCCCAGGAGAGGAGAGCAGGGGCCGCGGGCGGTCAGCAGGGACGAGGGCCCAGGAGAGGAGGGCAGGGGCCGCGGGCGGTCAGCGTGGACGAGGGCCCAGGAGAGGAGAGCAGGGGCCGCGGGCGGTCAGCGTGGACGAGGGCCCAGGAGAGGGGGGCAGGGGCCGCGGGCGGTCAGCGTGGACGAGGGCCCAGGAGAGGAGAGCAGGGGCCGCGGGCGGTCAGCGTGGACGAGGGCCCAGGAGAGGGGGGCAGGGGCCGCGGGCGGTCAGCGTGGACGAGGGCCCAGGAGAGGAGGGCAGGGGCCGCGGGCGGTCAGCGTGGACGAGGGCCCAGGAGAGGAGAGCAGGGGCCGCGGGCGGTCAGCAGGGATGAGGGCCCAGGAGAGGGGGGCAGGGGCCGCGGGCGGTCAGCAGGGATGAGGGCCCAGGAGAGGAGGGCAGGGGCCGCGGGCGGTCAGCGTGGACGAGGCCCAGGAGAGGAGAGCAGGGGCCGCGGGCGGTCAGCAGGGATGAGGGCCCAGGAGAGGGGGGCAGGGGCCGCGGGCGGTCAGCAGGGATGAGGGCCCAGGAGAGGAGGGCAGGGGCCGCGGGTGGTCAGCGTGGACGAGGCCCAGGAGAGGAGAGCAGGGGCCGCGGGCGGTCAGCAGGGATGAGGGCCCAGGAGAGGAGGGCAGGGGCCGCGGGCGGTCAGCGTGGACGAGGGCCCAGGAGAGGAGAGCAGGGGCCGCGGGCGGTCAGCAGGGATGAGGGCCCAGGAGAGGAGGGCAGGGGCCGCGGGCGGTCAGCGTGGACGAGGCCCAGGAGAGGAGAGCAGGGGCCGCGGGCGGTCAGCGTGGACGAGGCCCAGGAGACGGGGGCAGGGGCCGCGGGCGGTCAGCGTGGACGAGGGCCAGGAGAGGAGGGCAGGGGCCGCGGGGGGTCAGCGTGGACGAGGCCCAGGAGAGGAGGACAGGGGCCGCGGGCGGTCAGCGGGGACGAGGGCCCAGGAGAGGGGGGCAGGGGCCGCGGGCGGTCAGCGTGGACGAGGGCCCAGGAGAGGGGGGCAGGGGCCGCGGGCGGTCAGCGGGGACGAGGGCCCAGGAGAGGGGGGCAGGGGCCGCGGGCGGTCAGCGGGGACGAGGGCCCAGGAGAGGAGGGCAGGGGCCGCGGGCGGTCAGCGTGGACGAGGGTCCA